ATATTTTGAACTACCTCAATTTTGTAAATCTAGTTAATCACTACAATTACCTAACCTTAATACCAGTATGATCCATATCCTGTGTCAATATAGAGTAAGAACTAGTATTAGTAGGCCCGAAATGCTTAGGTATACCTAGGCATACTAGTGGCCCTCTTTGTAACAAGTATTTTATAATATGTAATAATATCTTATAATATGTAAACCCCACATTGTAATATTAACAGAGAAATAAAGAATTTTAATTTTTAATATTTTAATAAATTATCATACATAGCAGTATATGTGTAGGTTGGCATGAACCTTGGTAATAAATACCGACAAGTTGGTTTAGAAAGACACATAAACAAACACTATGACATATTAGATAACGTTTCAGTCCTGGGACCTTGATCACTTCTAACATACAAAGGTAGAAAGACATTATATATAGGTGGAGAGTGAGGTGTGACTCATGGTGACCTGAAGAATGACATTGTGATGTAGTTCAACTATGCTTGGTAGGTCACTAAGGGAGATCTAATTTAACCAATTATATGGTCACACCTTACCTTGGCAAATAGCTGTCAGACACACCTTTTGGCTTAAGTCTGAGGTCTTTTGTTCTTGACGGCGTCAGGTCAAAACACGTGGTGCACACCCCATTGTGAGGGGGGGCTTGAAGGACCATATAACCTCAAGGAACAGCTAGAGCAGGGAGATTCGAGCGGAGCTGCTGCTGGTGTGCAGGGCTCGGGAGTAGGCTGCTGGAGTCTCTGGAGGAGACTGTTGGAGACATTAGGCACAGTACTGGCATGGAGGAGTACTCGGCTGTGTAGGTCTTGGGACCTGTGGCTAGAGTGCGTGACTTAGTTCCTGTGGTGAACTGTCCTCTGAACAATATTGTAAGTTATATTCTATTTTGTCACTTGATTGTATTCCCTGTCTCACTGCTTATGTGTACCATCCCCATTTATCTAAAAACCCAATAGATGTTCTCCTGTTCCCAAATATATTATTGTACAAGGACTTAATAATAAACTGTTTGAGTGGAATAGTAATATTCACTGTCCCCGTTATTTATTCTTTTATTCATTAATTTATTTAAAGTAGTGAGAGGGTGAGTAGTGTGGTGGTAGAGGTAATGAGAGGTGATGGTGTAGTCGCCAGTCACCTCACATTACCTCCACTAATCACTCGACTCACCTCTTCTTTTACCACTCCTGCCTACTCCCTCCGATTCACCTACCAATTTCATATAGAGGTGTTCCATTTCTGGACTATTTGGCTGTAATAGCTACCCACCTTCACACCCATTGGCAACAACGTTGGTCAACTCTGCTCGGTAACAAACTTCATTCTATTAAACCGAGCATAGGTTACTGGCCGTCTTCTTGTCATCAGTGCCCAGGTTGGGAGACTACTTTCTCCTGCCTTCGCATTGGCCACACTCATCTTACTCATGGGTATCTCATGGAGATGCACCCTGTTCCTCTCTGTGAGCAGCGTCAAGTTCCAGTATCGATCAGCCACATTCTGTTAGACTGCCCTCTCTATCAACGAGCATGCAGAATTTACCTCCAACGTCGTCTCCACTCTACTACTCTCTCTTTACCTTCCCTTCTTGCTGATGGACCCTTCTTTAATCCTGACTCTCTCATTGACTTCTTGACAACGACTGATTTACTCCACAAACTCTGATGATACCTTTCGCACTCCCCTCAGCCCTTTCTACCTCAATCTCTTGCTGCCCTCTACCCTTTCACCATTCACTGCCCCGCTGTTCTCCGTAACCTATTACTCATCCATCTCCCTTTTGCCACCTGATACCCTCGCTTCCTTCCTGCCCTGCAGTGCTGTGTAGCCCTTGTGGTTTAGCGCTTCTTTTTTATTATAATAATAATCTGATTTCTCCCATATTCCCCAATAATCCATTCGTTCATTCCCCCCCTACATGACAACATGTTGGGATGAGGACGGGTAGACGATGAGATCATGTGACTCCTGTGTTGTTGACTTGGTCTACCTGGAGGGTATTCCGGGGATCAAAGTCCCTGTGGCCCGGTCCATGACCAGGCCTCCTGGTGGATCAGGGCCTTATCAAAGAGGCTGTTAATGCTGGCTGCACGCAATCCAATGTACGAACCACAGCCCGGCTGATCCGGCACTGTCTTTAGGTATCTGTCCAGCTCCATCTTGAAGACAACCAAGGGTCTACTGGTAATGCCCCTTATTGCTGGTGGGAGGCTGTTGAACAGTCTTGGGCCCCATACACTTATTGCATTTTAGTGTACCAGTGGTGCCCCTACTTTTCACTGGGGGTACGTTGCATCACCTGCCAAGTCTTTTGCTTTCGCAGGGAGTGATTGCTGTGTGCATATTAGGGACCAGTCCCTCCAGAATCTTCCTGGTGGTGCTTAAGCCTGCTTGAGTATCATGTATGCTAATAAGAAATTTTGTGGTTTCTAGTGTTACGTTCTATTGTGTCAGTGATGGTGATTAGCGAGGCTTCTAGACACCGTCGGCGTCTGAGGTCGTGTTCGGTGAGAACGAGTTGTGTCTCATCCCAGTTCATCAAATGCCCCATGGAGTCTCTGTGGAGGACACAGCCGTACCTTAAATCGGCTCTGTTACAGGCACTTCTATGGTCGTTCAGGCGAACAGCAAGATCTCTGCCTATCTAGCCTACATATATCTTGGCACAGAATCCACAGGGGATGGTGTAGACGCTTGCTGTGGAAGTTAGAGGTGTGGGGCTATGTTTCATAGCGAGGTCTTTGATAGATGATGTGTTTATAGTGGAAATGTTGATGCTACTCTTAGCAAGTGCCCGACGAGTATTGGTGGCAACATCACCACGTGGGAGCACCATGAACTGCTTAGAGGGCTGTTCTATGGGCAGTTTGTTGAGCATAGAAACTATACCACGGGTTGTGATGTAGTTCAGCTGGGCTTGTGAGGTCTCTGGGGAGACCTAATTTAACCAATTATATGGTCACACCTTGCCTTGGCAAACGTCTGTCAGCCACGCCCACGTCTGAGATCTTTTGTTCTTGACGGCGTCAGACCTAGGCGTCAGATCAACACCACGTGTGCACACCTCATTGTAGAGGGTGCTTGGACCACCATAAAAGCCCAAGGAAGAGCATGATCAGGAGATTTGTGCGGAGCACTGGCCTGGGTGCAGAGCTCCGAGCAGAGACTTCGAGCGGAGCTGCTGCTGGGGTGCAGGGCTCGGGAGAAGGCTGCTGAAGTCTCTGGAGAAGACTGTTGGAGGCATTGGGCAGAGTACTGGCTTGGCGCAGTACTCGTGCTGTATTGGGGCCTGTGGCTTAGTTCCTGTAGTGAACTGTCCTCTGTACTATATTGTAAGTTATATTCATTTTCGTCAAGTTGATTGTGTTCCCTGTCTCACTGCTTATGTGTACCACCCCATTTATCTAAACCCCAATGATGTACTCCTGTTCCCAAATATATTATTGTGCAAGGACTTAATAATAAACTGTGTTTGAGTAGGATAGTAATATTCACTGTCCCTGTTATTTATTCATATTTCCATTTATTTATGTTTAGTTAAAGTAGTGAGAGGGTGAGTAGTGTGGAGTGGTGGGTAGAGTAATGAGAGGTGAAGTTGTAGTCACCAGTGACCTCACATTACCTACCGACCTCCGCACTCATCCCTCCTACTGCCTCGCCTGTCCCCTACCTACTGACTCCCTCCGCTTACCCTCTTATTCCCCTAATCAATACCCCCCTACATGACAGGGTGGGGTTTGATTATTATCAGAAAGAAGCGCTAAACCACATGGGTTATACAGCGGGTGGGGTTTGAACTCGCGGTCATTACGCAGGTTCGTGAGGCATGTTGAGGAAGCTTGTGCCTTTAGTCTGCAATCTCGGATGAAGAAAGATGGAAACTGAAGACGTGTAAAGGCTTGTGTAATGTAAATACATTCTTCTTTAAGAAAACAAGGGCTGGAGATGCGAAGAGCTCCCAAGAAGCCAATAAGATAAGATGAGATAAGATAAGATTTCGTTCGGATTTTTAACCCCGGAGGGTTAGCCACCCAGGATAACCCAAGAAAGTCAGTGCGTCATCGAGGACTGTCTAACTTATTTCCATTGGGGTCCTTAATCTTGTCCCCCAGGATGCGACCCACACCAGTCGACTAACACCCAGGTACCTATTTGCTGCTAGGTGAACAGGACAACAGGTGTAAGGAAACGTGTCGAAATGTTTCCACCCGCCGGGAATCGAACCCGGGCCCTCCGTGTGTGAAGCGGGAGCTTTAGCCACCAGTGAGGGTGCCACGAATACTCGCTTACCTGCCTTAATAAACTGTATGTGTAGATTACCTAGGATAACTCCCCAAAAAATCAGACAAAGTTACTTATTTCCTCTGGGGTCCTTGAAATGAACTATTTACACGTTTATATCTGGTCACATTCGCAATGAGTTACTTATGCAAACATGAATTAGGTCACCCCCCCCGCCCCGCCCCCCCCCCCCCCCCCCCCCCCAAAAAAAAAGGGGCAGTGCTTTATTTAGAGGGAGCAAAGTCAGGGTATTTTCCAGCTTGGTTTGTAATATACAACTGTGGATAAAATACTTTGATACCTGCCAAGTGTTTTAAAAATCTCTCCCTAGTTACCCTACCCAAGCCTTGAAAATTTGAAACCGACTGGAGGAGCTCTTGTCGAGTTATGAACGAAATAACGAAAAGTTGTAGGAAAATGAAACTTTGACAATAACTTAAATTAAAATAATGATATTCACCACTTAAATAACTAGTTCTTTTATATTCGAATGCTAAACTTCAGCTAATAATTCGAAATGCATAAAAGTGGCTTCGACATTTACCATGCGTAATAAATGCACTACAATAAGCTTAGTGTGGTTAGAATTTAATTGTCCCAAAATATTTCTTGCAATTTTAATAATTAACTCTGGATATAATGGCGTGAAAAATACGAAAATAAAATAATATAGAGGAGAAGGCTACGGCTGGAGGTTAAGACGAGTTTTGCTCAGTGTTTTGGGCCTGGCTGCTGTAGGTGTTTGACATATGTTTCTTATGTGTTACTCAACCTCAGTTCATTATAATGTCAGGCGAGAATTCGTCAGAGCCAAAGCTTTTACACTTATTCATTTTTAACGCCAACTTTGGGCAGAAGGAAGGACACGTGAGTATAAAGAAGAGTGAGGAGCTCAGGTCTGTCCAATATTATCCTGACGTGTTACCTGTAGGGATTATTTTATTAGATTTACAGGTGTTTTATTCTTCAGGGGAGTTGTGCTCATGTTTTTCAAAGGCTTGTGATCCGAGTAATTAAGAGCTACGCCTTGGATCGAACTCTGTTAAATCTGACTCCCTCGCCCGAGGGAGGAGGTGCCCTGATACCGGTGAACCCGAGAGGCTTTTGATCCAAGGAAGTGGACTTGTCTTGCACTTCCTTGGATCAAACCGGATTTTCTTTCATTCCCCAGGCACTATATGACTCCCTACAGATATATCATTTCCCCATGACTACAGTAGTCTCATTTCTCTGACTCTGTATGACCCTGTGGGTTTAGTGCTTTCCCATGAATATTATAATAATACAGAACTGTTCTATGGTTTGATTATAATAATACTGCAGTTTAATTTTACAATACTGATACCTGGAGAGAGTTCTGGGGGTCAGTGCCCCCGTGGCCCGGTCTGTAACCAGGCCTCATGGTGGACCAGGGCCTGATCAACCAGGCTGTTACTGCTAGTCACATGTACTTGTAGGGTTTGTCCCTATCAGGGTAAGGTGGATGGCTGTTTTTGTTGGTCTGAGGTAGATGATTATGATTCTTGGGCCTAGGGTTGACTGCAGTTTTTGTGTTGATGATTGTATTTGAGCTCTCAGGTATTCTGCAATGGATTCTGCTCTGCTTTACCTTGGAGCTCTATGCAAATGATAAGGCATAAATGCTTGCTTCAGAGCCTGCTTCACAGCAGTGTTAAATTTATTCCAGAAGTCTGACACTCCAGTGAGTTGTCATACCTTACTGCACTGACTGTCTGATGAATGTAGTAGCACTTAAATGTCATGATAATTCCTCAGTCCAGCTGTTGTATCAAAGATGTTACATTTAAAATTTGAGTTTATGGGGTCCATACTGAAGTTTTGTATATTTAGTTGGGAGGGGAGGGCACTTCCTCACATTTTTGCTATTTCCCTCAAGTAAATAAACTCATCGAATGTGAAGCAAGTCTTTAAAGATGTGGGTATGTGGCTGTAAGCTGACGGATGGGGCTGTAAACACACTTATAGCAAAGAAGAAATTTTATTCAGTAAACCCTCAGTTTTATGGACCTCAGTTTAACGGACTTCAGAAATATGGGACAAAATCTGCTGGGTCAGTTCATTTAGAAACGGTGGACAAAGTCATTTGCATGCAGAATTGTTCATTGTTATAATCACAGAGAAACAATCTTCTCTACCCACCAGTCACTGGTACTAGTTACCCATTCCTCCCTGATAAAGCCCTCGGAGTTCTTCTCTGCAAGCATGTCATTATTCCACCAAATCTTCAGAGAGCAGTCAAAAAGATGTCATTGTAGTTTCAAGTAATATTGCAAATAATTGTTTAATAAATAAACTTGCACTATGTACATGTTAGTTAAGTTTTCTTAGAATTAAATAATTGCAAAGCAATAAATTCTCTTACTCAGCTCATCACTTACAAGCCAGTATATCCAACAAATGCAGCAGTAATAAATGAAAACTGGCAAAATACTAACTGTTATTACTGTTACTGTATATTATCATTAATATTCTTCTTTCAACAAACCGGCCATATCCCACCAAAGCAGTGTGGCCCAAAAAGATAAACAAAAGTTTCTCTTTAACTTTAGTAATGTATACAGGAGAAGGAGGTTACTAGCCCCTTGCTCCTGGCATTTTAGTTGCTTCTTACAACACGCATGGTATTGTTAATATTATTTTGTTATTTATGGGGAAGTGCTACACTCATACAGGGTCATACAGTACATGGGAAATGAGAGGCATGGAAGTGAAGGTTAGTTAGGGCCACATGTATGAAAATTTAGCTCAATTTTTGTAATAGCGATGATACTGGACTTGAATTTCTCTAACATAGAAGAGTCAAGTTGTTACATTCACTTTTGAAAGTATCTATTCCCTGTCATAAGAGTTGACAGTAGTTGGTACAGCCTCTCCTCACTTAGCGACATACTCGGACTTACGACGGGCTCTCTGACCAGTATGCATATCTAAATAATGTAGTATATTAGAGCTGATTTCCTCAGTTCTATTTATTACAATATATGGTACACTACTGTATAAACATTTAAAAATATACCAGAAATGTTATAAATGGTACACAGGTGACATTAAAACAGTATCAAAGATGGTTGACACAAACCCACTACCATTATAGTATGCTCTTCACTAAGCGACGAATTCATTTACCAACATGGTCTTAGGAATGGAACTCCATAATTAAGTGAGGAGAGGCTGCACTGTACTGTGGATCTGACCCTTAAGTTTTGAAAGGTGATTAATTTTTGTAAAGTGGGGAAATAGGGTGATAGTTTTAAATTTGTAACTGCTTTTCAATTTTTTTTGTTTTTTTGTCCTCAGGAACATGAGAAAATACTATTTTATCACCCTAGTTCAACTGACATAGATACACAAGTACGGCATGTGGGCTTGGCTGAGGCTATTACTAGATTTTCAAGGTAAGAAATAATATCTTAATTAATGATCTTTATTATGAAGAATGTTTTTTCTTAGAATTACATAACTACAGGTAACACTTGCTTAACACTGTCGGTGGCTGTCACATAGAGCTACGTCATTGAGGTCAGGGTCCCTCACATAGCTCATTTGGGTAAACTGTGAGTGGTAGATTTTGGCCTAGTGTGGACAATATAAAAAAAATCCTACACCATGCAGTGCATGTTGAGAAAACATAACTGACTGTTTGTATGGTTTAAAATAGCAAATTTAAGGTGTTTTGTTGGATGGTTTTTATGGTTTTATTGGCTGTTTTTGTATAATGTTTGATGGATTGGAAGACATACTACAGAATACACAAATAACCCGCACATAAAAGAGAGAAGCTTATGACGACGGACCGAAACGTCGTCGTAAGCTTCTCTTTTATGTGCGGGTTATTTGTGTATCGTTCCAGTCACGGTATTGTGCCTTTTTTTTTTGTTACATACTACAGAAATAGTGATGATTTGAATTGGTTTCAGGAGTGGAAGTAGCTTGAAATTGAACTCAAAGGAGCAGAAATATTAGATTTTTGCCAGTGTATTGCTGAGGATGGGTAAGGCCCTCCTACTCTCCTCAGTCTGTTACATGGGTTTTTAATCAGTCTGATTCAATTATTTGGCACTGTAAACCATGACTAATCATTCCTGGTTATATTTTATTATCTGAGAAATAGAGTATATGTTCTATTTTTGTGTGATTATTTACTCAAAATGGAAGGCAAGTATAATATAGAAGAGGCCTGGGAATATGATTAAATGAACAGAAGAAATGTTTTTACTGCCAAGAATGTCTACATTGTTTATTTTGGAATCTGTTCTTAAATTGGTATTTTTTTTAATTTGGTGTAAAATTAGGCAAATTACAAGCTTATGTGCACTTTATAGGGTAGATGCAATAATTGAACAGGCAGTTTGTGCTAAATTGATAGAACAGAACGTATACTAGTGAAATAGCAAAGAATTTGGTTGAATGGAGCAATAGAATTGCCTTAAAATAGGACTCAAAAGTGGGCAAAATTGCTGATGCGTAAATTGCACCAAGACCGCTTACTTTGCACCTGCGTAATTCCATTAGTTTTCCATCAAATTTCATACTTTTGATGTCATTACCTTCAGAAAAAATTACCATTTCAGATTTTTTTTTTTAATAATGAACACTGAAAGTCATATTAATTTTGTTCGTAAAATCTCAGTGTATAGCAATTTAACCCTTTGACTGTTTCAGTCGTATATATACGTCTTTCGAGCCAGTGTTTTAGACGTATATATACTCAATAATTCTATCTGCTTCAAATCAAGCAGGAGAAGCTGGTAGGCCCACATGTGAGAGAATGGGTCTGTGTGGTCAGTGTGCACTGTATAAAAAAAATCCTGCAGCACGCAGTGCATAATGAGAAAAAAAAACTCCGACAGTGTTTTTGGATTAAAATGCCATCTTTGAGGTGTATTTTCGTATAGTATTTATGGTTGTATTCTCATTTTTGTGGTCTCATTTCATGGAATGGAAAACATATTACAGAAATAGAGATGATTTTGATTAGTTTCACGATGAAAACAGCTTTGAAATTGAGCTCAAAGGTAGCGGAAATGTTCGATTTTTACCAAAGTTCAAGAGTAAGCAAATCACACCACACTGGGGAGTTTAATATTCTTTCACTAGTGCACAGATATTATTTATACCATTTTTTACAATAATGCAGTAGTCTGCATAACAGTAAATCTTCTATTTTTTGTGTTTACCTGGAGTTTACCTGGAGAGAGTTTCGGGGGTCAACGCCCCCGCGGCCCGGTCTGTGACCAGGCCTCCTGGTGGATCAGCGCCTGATCAACCAGGCTGTTGCTGCTGGCTGCACGCAAACCAACGTACGAGCCACAGCCCGGCTGATCAGGAACTGACTTTAGGTGCTTGTCCAGTGCCAGCTTGAAGACTGCCAGGGGTCTGTTGGTAATCCCCCTTATGTGTGCTGGGAGGCAGTTGAACAGTCTCGGGCCCCTGACACTTATTGTATGGTCTCTTAACGTGCTAGTGACACCCCTGCTTTTCATTGGGGGGATGGTGCATCGTCTGCCAAGTCTTTTGCTTTCGTAGTGAGTGATTTTCGTGTGCAAGTTCGGTACTAGTCCCTCTAGGATTTTCCAGGTGTATATAATCATGTATCTCTCCCTCCTGCGTTCCAGGGAATACAGGTTTAGAAACCTCAAGCGCTCCCAGTAATTGAGGTGTTTTATCTCTGTTATGCGCGCCGTGAAAGTTCTCTGTACATTTTCTAGGTCGGCAATTTCACCTGCCTTGAAAGGTGCTGTTAGAGTGCAGCAATAATTCCAGCCTAGATAGAACAAGTGACCTGAAGAGTGTCATCATGGCTTGGCCCTCCTAGTTTTGAAGGTTCTCATTATCCATCCTGTCATTTTTTCTAGCAGATGCGATGATACAATGTTATGGTCCTTGAAGGTGAGATCCTCCGACATAATCACTCCCAGTCTTTGACGTTGGTGTTTCGCTCTATTTCGTGGCCAGAATTTGTTTTGTACTCTGATGAAGATTTAATTTCCTCATGTTTACCATATCTGAGTAATTGAAAATTTCTCATCGTTGAACTTCATATTGTTTTCTGCAGCCCACTGAAAGATTTGGTTGATGTCCGCCTGGAGCCTTGCAGTGTCTGCAATGGAAGACACTGTCATGCAGATTCGGGTGTCATCTACAAAGGAAGACACGGTGCTGTGGCTGACATCCTTGTCTATGTCGGATATGAGGATGAGGAACAAGATGGGAGCTAGTAGTGTGCCTTGTGGAACAGAGCTTTTCACCGTAGCTGCCTCGACTTTACTCTGTTGACGACTACTCTCTGTGTTCTGTTAGTGAGGAAATTATAGATCCATCGACCGACTTTCCTGTTATTCCTTTAGCGCGCATTTGTGCGCTATTACGCCATGGTCACACTTGTCGAAGGCTTTTGCAAAGTCTGTATATTTTAAACATCTGCATTCTTTTTGTCTTCTAGTGCATTTAGGACCTTGTCGTAGTGATCCAGTAGCTGAGACAGACAGGAGCGACCTGTTCTAAACCCATGTTGCCCTGGGTTGTGTAACTGATGGGTTTCTAGATGGTGGTGATCTTGCTTCTTAGGACCCTTTCAAAGATTTTTATGATATGGGATGTTAGTGCTATTGGTCTGTAGTTCTTTGCTGTTGCTTTACTGCCCCCTTTGTGGAGTGGGGCTATGTCTGTTGTTTTTAGTAACTGAGGGACGACCCCCGTGTCCATGCTCCCTCTCCATAGGATGGAAAAGGCTCGTGATAGGGGCTTCTTGCAGTTCTTGATGAACACAGAGTTCCATGAGTCTGGCCCTGGGGCAGAGTGCATGGGCATGTCATTTATCGCCTGTTCGAAGTCATTTGGCGTCAGGATAACATCGGATAGGCTTTTTGTTAATCAAATTTTGTGGCTCTCTCATAAAAAATTCATTTTGATCTTCGACTCTCAGTCGGGGTAGCGGCTTGCTAAAAACTGAGTCATATTGGGACTTGAGTAGCTCACTCATTTCCTTGCTGTCATCTGTGTAGGACCCATCTTGTTTAAGTAGGGGCCCAATACTGGGCGTTGTTCTCGATTTTGATTTGGCATAGGAAAGAAATATTTTGGGGGTTTCTTTCGATTTCATTTATAGCTTTTAGTTCTTCCCGCGATTCCTGACTCCTAAAGGATTCTTTTAGCTTAAGTTCGATGCTTGCTATTTCTCTGACCAGTGTCTCCCTGCGCATTTCAGATATATTGACCTCTTTTAGCCGCTCTGTTATTCTTTTCCGTCGCCTGTAAAGGGAGCGCCTGTCTCTTTCTATTTTACATCTACTCCTCCTTTTTCTTAGAGGAATAAGCCTTGTGCATACATCGAGTGCCACCGAGTTAATCTGTTCTAGGCATAAGTTTGGGTCTGTGTTGCTTAGTATATCTTCCCAGCTTATATCGGTTAGGACTTGGTTTACTTGGTCCCACTTTATGTTTTTGTTATTGAAGTTGAATTTGGTGAATGCTCCCTCGTGACTAGTCTCATTTTGTCGGTCTGGGGCTCCTCGCATACATGTCTGAACCTCAATTATGTTGTGATCTGAGTATATTGTTTTTGATATGGTGACATTTCTTATCAGATCATCATTGTTAGTGAATATGAGGTCTAGTGTATTCTCCAGTCTAGTAGGCTCTATTATTTGCTGGTTTAAATTGAATTTTGTGCAGAGATTTAAAAGCTCGTGTGAGTGTGAGTTTTCATCAGAGCTGCCTCCTGGTGTTATTACTGCAACAATATTATTTGCTATATTCCTCCATTTTAGGTGCCTTAAGTTGAAATCCCCCAGGAGCAAGATGTTGGGTGCAGGAGCTGGAAGATTTTCCAGACAGTGGTCAATTTTTAACAGCTGTTCCTGGAATTGCTGGGATGTTGCATCCGGAGGCTTGTAGACTACCACAATGACTAGGTTTTGGTTCTCGACCTTTACTGCTAAAACTTCCACTACGTCATTTGAGGCATTAAGCAGTTCTGTGCAAACAAGTGACTCTGCAATGTACAGGCCAACCCCCCCCTTTTGCCTGTTCACTCTGTCACATCTGTATAGGTTGTAACCTGGGATCCATATTTCATTGTCCAAGTGATCCTTTATGTGGGTCTCAGTGAAAGCCGCGAACATTGCCTTTGCCTCTGCAAGCAGTCCACGGATGAAAGGTATTTTGTTTGTTGCTGGCTTTAGACCCTGTATATTTGCAAAGAAGAATGTTATCGGACTGGTGGTATTGTTGGTACTGGGGGGGGATTTTTTTTTCAAAATAGAATGCAAGAGTAATACAAGACGGGCGTAGATGTGACTGATAAACAGAGGGTATGTTATTTTTGTACCAAGAATGTCTGCATTGTTTATTATGGACCCTATTTTGAAATTGGCATCTTTTTTAATTTGCATGAAATTGGCCAAATTACCAATTTTTGACCACTTGATTTGGTAGTTGAAATCAGTAAATGGGTAGTTTCTTGTACTCAATTGATAGAAAAAATGGAATTCTAAAGAAATAGCTGAGAGTTTGGTCGACTGGAACAATGGAATTGGCCGAAAATCGGGCTCAAAATTGGCAAAATTGCCGATGCGTATATATTGCTGAGATCACTAACTTTGCGGGAGCGTAATTCTGTAAGTTTTCGATCAAATTTTGTACTTTTGGTTCATTACCATCGGGAAAAGATTCTCTATCATTTCGTGAGAATTTTTTTTTTTTTTTTTTTTCTTCAAAAAAATTTTTTGACATAGAATGACAGTTTCAGAAAGGGGCTTTCGACAGTCAAAGGGTTAAACATTAGGCAATACATTTGCACTATAAAAACCATGATTCTGATACACGGCACCATCCAACAGAAGCAGCATAGGCTCTTCCCCTGTTTTTTGTGCCCTGCTTTAGTATTGTATTTGATTTATATACTGTTATTGTAGTAGGTTCGTCCAAGGAGGAATGGTACTACCATCCCATCATCAGAGTATGAAGTAGAAACTCGGTAAAGGTTTTGCACCCTGGTGGGATTGCTGGTCTTAACTTTTTCATTCATGGCCAGTAAGATGGCAGGTACATGTATATCTTACAAATTTCTGTGTACTGTTGCAGCAGAGAAGTTAGTTAAAATGTTTTTTGGGGGGGATCAGTTTGTAGTGTGAATGCTATACAAAAAATAGGATACAATGAAATTAGATGGTGTAGTGTTACAAAAGTCAAAGTTCCAAGAAAAATGCAAGATATGTTGTTTGAGAGTATTATAACCAGAGCTGAATGAAAGGAGTAATGTAAGGGTGTCTGAGGAAAAACTTGGAAGGTGGTTGAAAGTGCAGTGTGTGTTTGAACATTCAGAAGGATGTGTGTTAGAATGGAGTGAATGAAAGGGAATGATGTATGGAATTTGCCATGCTGTTGGAGTGTAAACAGTGTTCTTGGAGACATTTAAATGTTAGGAAATACAATGCCTGTACTCTGGATAGCTGTATGACCCTAGAAGCTTTAGCGCTTCTTTTTGATTATTACAATAATAATGTACTCTGGATAGGAAATTGAGGTAGTTTACAGGCTTCCTATTGGACAAGATTCAATGCATTACTGAATAGCAGATAGAAAGTGACAGTGAATGTACCATATTCTTTTGATAACACTGCCAAGGTGGTAGATGACCAAAGTGTTGAATAAAATTTGCTATAGCAAATACGATTGTTTAATGATATAACCAGCTGACCATATTGCCTGCTATTTTGGGGGGACAATGAATTCAGGATATAAAAAAACACACAATTCAGGATTCAAATTTTATTTTTTTTTTCCACAGAACTTTCAAGAAAGATGGAGACTGTGAAGCAGTACACACACAGAAGACACGGCAAGTGTTCTACCAGCCAGAGTCGGACATGTGGATGGTCATGGTATGTATAGTCGGGGGCCTTAGTTTGTAAACATCACTGAGAAATCTTTGCCATTATTGTGCATATTCAGAGCACTTAAGTAAATGAAAGGAATGAGGTACAGTATTTTGTTAGTAAAAATCCTGATTATATTCAGCCTTTCACTGCTAATTTTTAATACTGTATACAGTTATACAAATTAAGCTAGGTACTATACACAAAAAGACTAAAAGTGATGACTAATGTTTTTATGGATTTAATGTAAATTAATTAAATACCGTAGTCAAAGTGCAAGTCTGTATAATATATCAATTAAGGGACCAATATAATTATTTTGATTATCTTACCAGTACCTATTTGTAGCTACAAGAACAGAGCTGTGCTTGTGGTGTGTGATACAGGATATGTGAAAAGGAAGTCCTGGTGCAAAACTAATATACATAGTATCATATTCCACTGTTATGTTTTCTTTCTAGCTGACAAAAAATGCCAAGAATTTCCAGTATAGTACAGTACTGGCACTGTACATACAGCCTCGGCAAAGCAAATTTTGCCTTTAAAAAACAAGTTTGGAAAAGGATGAATAAAACACACAAACAGCTTTATGAGCTTTATTAGAGAACTTGGAAAATACAAAACATCAATATCAGGTCATTTGACCATTTGCTTTCATTACATTTTTAATCCTATTTCATACAAGATCAGTGGCCAGCATTTTTTTTTTATGCCAAAAGTTTTTTTTGGCTGAAACTGTATAATGATATGTACATAGACATTATTTACAAGTGCAGACTTTCACTACTGTTAAATTACAGAAATATCCATTTTTTTTTTTTTTTTCAATTTTTTTTTTTTTTTTTAGACTGTTGGCATAGGATGGATCTCTAAAATGCGTGAGTCAGGGCCAGTACGAGAATACCAGAGTGAGGGAGTGCAGGATGTAATATTGCGGGCAAGATTAATCAGCTTGTACCATTCCTTCACTCTGCAGCATGCCTCCTTTGCTAGTGTTCTCACATCAGCAGGACTTCAGGGTCTCAGATCAACACTCAACACTTTTGTAAATTCGGTAAGCTTTTGAATTTGGGCTGAAAGTCATTGTATTGTATGATATTAATGTAATGAAACTGGGCTCTTGGGAATTTACATTTGGTAGATAATTTTAAGATTTACACACTCTTTTCCAAGTTAATAATTTTACAAGTTTATAATTCTATGGTTTTGTATGGTTTAATTGTTAACCTGGTCAGGATCTGGCTGCTTTGCCAATACTCCAAGAACCACCACCAGGTAGACACTAAGTTACTAGGCACAAGGTTTTTATTTCACTTGTGTAAAAATAATATGTAGGATAGTTTACATATTTTATTCAGAATTTGGTGTAATTTTTGAGAGGCCTCCTCCAATCTTTAAAAAAGCAATGCTCATTTATTTCCTCGATTAGTGAGGACTACTTGACTGGAGCTCAATAAAAGCTTATTACATGCAAATGATGAAATTTAATGTTTAATTTTAATAAAATTTTGGTGATAAGTGAGTGAGAATATTTGCAGGTTTTGGGTTTTGAACTGTAGCATTGGTGCAAGAATCGCTCCATCACTGGCAAGAAATTGATGGAGTGAATGTGCTGAAAGTGTTTCTTTTTTTTCTGGGTCACCCTACCTTGGTGGAAGACACCCAGTTTGTTGAAAAAATCATTATATTGTTCAGGATTATCATGGAATCTTACTTAACATTTTCTTAAATAAATTGGTGTATATACTCCTCATAGTTTGTTTTGAGAATGGTAGTTTTTCCTTTCAGTATGTATCATCAGTGGATATGAGCAGTGGAGACATCCTGGCAGTGTGGTCGGGTGTGTCATTCCTACCACTTGACAGACAAACATTCCTGAGGATTCATTGCTGCCTCTCTCTTCTTCAATCATCCTTTCCAAATATCAGCCACACAGCATTCTTCTACAATCATCATGTTGTCTGGTGCGTACTGTATATTCATGAGAATGCAGCTTTAATAAATTTATCTTCTGTAAATAACAAAAAAAGGCACAATACCGTGACTGGAACGATACACAAATAACCCGCACATAGAAGAGAGGAGCTTACGACGACGTTTCGGTCCAACTTGGACCATTTACAAAGTCACACTGTGACTTTGTAAATGTCACACTGTGCGGGTTATTTGTGTATCTTCTGTACCATGTATTAATAATGTACATATCTGCTGTTTATTAGTTATGTAAGGAATGTGTTGTTAAAAACTACTACTCCATTTCCCAAAATTTACAGTATTGGAATTTTGTTACACATTGTCAGGCTAGAACATCCATCAGTTGAAACTGTGTATACTATACTGTAACTTGCTGGGCTTTTAATCCATTCACTGTTGCTTGTACATATACTGTACATATTCTGCCAGCAGTTTGCTTTCACAAATTGTGGCCAGAATGTAATACAGTCAAGCACTTAAAAATTTGGCTATTGCTAGGAATGATTCTAGTGGGCAGGGATATATTTAGACTGCTGTGACAGTACTGATGAAATAGCTAAGCAGACTAATGTTTATTAATAACTCTAATTAATGTAAGATTTCCTTTGCAATTGACTATGCCTATTCTGAGACCAGACTACAGAACTTTGATCCCCAGACCCATTAACAGATAAGGTAATCATAAGTATATAGGTAGAAGTAATTGTGTAAATAGTTCAGTGATTAGAAATTCTCCAGGACAGTACCTTGTTCACCTGTTTGTATATATCTATATCAGAAATAAAATTGTATTTTTTTTATAACACTATCCATCTCCCACCAAGGTAGGGTGACCCGAAAAAGAAATGCTCTTACCCTCATTCGCTTCATCACTGTTTTGCCAGAGGTGTGCAGGCACAACACATCAGATGCCCCTCCAAACTGTAAATATCCCCACCTCTCCTCCAGAGTGCAGGCACTGTACCTCCCACCTCCAGGACTCAAGTCTGGCTAACCAATTTCCCTGAATCCTTTCACAGAATGTTACCTTGCCCACAGCTCATCAAGTCCCAAAAACTATGCAGTACATTGCAGGTGTGGCTTGAGCTTGGAGGACCTTCGATCTCTTTCCCGGTACCTGAATGATCAGCTGCTTCCAGGCCGCTTAGAAACCAGTTTTCAGAGTTCTTCATCTGCACCGACCAGTTATCTCTCCAGGTACAAAAACCTTTTGTATACACATATTTAATCTTTGGTGTGCTTTAATATGTTCATGATAGTGATTCAAGTTACATTCTTTTTTAACACTGGCCATCTCCCAGTGAGGTAGGGTGACTCAAAAAATAAGGAAACACATTCAATATCAGTCATTAGCCACCAGAAGTGTGCAAACATAATGGTTCCAATGAACATCTGAATCGTGACATCCCCACCAATCCTTCTGTTCTTGCCACCTCTGGAACTCGGGTCTGGGTAACAAGTTTCCCTGAATTGCTTCATAAATGTTACCTTCTGACATTCCAACAGCACATCAGTCCATAAAAATCATTTGTCTTCACTCACTTCGATCTAAAATGCTCACACAGGCCTTTTGGATGCTTGTGCCCCTAGCACTCGAAATTTCCTTTACCCTCCTTCCCCTCCAATTCTTCCTGGGGTAACATTTATCCCTCCTTCCATCTTTCCACTCAAATATCCTCTTGGTCATCCTGTACTTCTCCATCCTCTCTAAATGCCCAAACCTCTTCTCAAGCCCTCTAAATTATATCTTTGGTAACCCCACATCATCTAAATCTGATGCTGTAGACTCTTTACATAATATTCACACAATGCATCCCCCCCCTCCAATATATCTCCACTGTTATACGAGTGTGAGGCCCATGCCTCACACCCATATAACAGTGTTGATGCCAGTATTCACTAGCACATTACTCTTTTTGTTTTTTTTCCTCAGCAGAAAAAATTAATTTTTCTTAACAGATACCTCAACAAAGAAAGGAAAGAGGGAAATTATTTCCCAGTAAAAGTAGGCCTTAGACAAGGATGTGTGATGTCACTGTGGTTGTTTAATATATTTATAGATGGGGTTGTAAGAGAAGTAAATGCGAGGGTCTTGGCAAGAGGCGTGGAGTTAAAAGATAAAGAATCACACATAAAGTGGGAGTTGTCACAGTTGCTCTTTGCTGATGACACTGTGCTCTTGGGAGATTCTGAAGAGAAGTTGCAGAGATTGGTGGATGAATTTGGTAGGGTGTGCAAAAGAAGAAAATTGAAAGTGAATACAGGAAAGAGTAAGGTTATGAGGATAACAAAAAGATTAGGTGATGAAAGATTGGATATCAGATTGGAGGGAGAGAGTATGGAGGAGGTGAATGTATTCAGATATTTGGGAGTGGACGTGTCAGCAGATGGGTCTATGAAAGATGAGGTGAATCATAGAATTGATGAGGGGAAAAGGGTGAGTGGTGCACTTAGGAGTCTGTGGAGACAAAGAACTTTGTCCTTGGAGGCAAAGAGGGGAATGTATGAGAGTATAGTTTTACCAACGCTCTTATATGGGTGTGAAGCATGGGTGATGAATGTTGCAGCGAGGAAAAGGCTGGAGGCAGTGGAGATGTCATGTCTGAGAGCAATGTGTGGTGTGAATATAATGCAGAGAATTCGTAGTTTGGAAGTTAGGAGGAGGTGCGGGATTACCAAAACTGTTGTCCAGAGGGCTGAGGAAGGGTTGTTGAGGTGGTTCGGACATGTGGAGAGAATGGAGCGAAACAGAATAACTTCAAGAGTGTATCAGTCTGTAGTGGAAGGAAGGCGGGGTAGGGGTCGGCCTAGGAAAGGTTGGAGGGAGGGGGTAAAGGAGGTTTTGTGTGCGAGGGGCTTGGACTTCCAGCAGGCATGCGTGAGCGTGTTTGATAGGAGTGAATGGAGACAAATGGTTTTTAATACTTGACGTGCTGTTGGAGTGTGAGCAAAGTAACATTTATGAAGGGGTTCAGGGAAACCGGCAGGCCGGACTCGAGTCCTGGAGATGGGAAGTACAGTGCCTGCACTCTGAAGGAGGGGTGTTAATGTTGCAGTTTAAAAACTGTAGTGTAAAGCACCCTTCTGGCAAGACAGTGATGGAGTGAATGATGGTGAGAGTTTTTCTTTTTCGGGCCACCCTGCCTTGGTGGGAATCGGCCAGTGTGATAATAATAATAAAAAAAATACCTCAACAAACTACCCCCCTCCCCCCCCTCATCATTTCTATGACTCAACTTATCTTTCATCTGCAGTTCAAATATCTGAATAGATTACTTCCTCCATACTCCCTCCCATCTGATATCCAATCTTTTATTACCTACATCTATTCTCATCACCCTGCTCTTACTTTCCTCCTTTATATATATAATATTTTTTTTTTACCTCATTGACCATCTCCCACCAAAGCCATGGGACCCAAAAAAGAATTGCATTTATTATCATTCCCATATCCTTTCCAGAATCTGCCAAGAGAACTGTCATCAGTAAAGATTACAGGAAATGCATTGCTGCTAATTTTTGTTGGAGCTCCCTGTTGCATTTAATACAACTTCATGAAATTACTGATATGTGGTCTTTTTGGCTGTGGCCTAAAGGATACTGTTCTTTGCTTCTGAAATCGTATCTTTCTGGTCATTATGTCAAGTAATAGTCAGTGAGTCTGTATTCAGTACCAAATCATTATAAACTTTACACACACTTGTCCCAGTTGATTGAAGTGGTCTATACACAGACTGAACACACAGTAAAACATTACTCTGCTGTAGAAAGGAAACAGTTGATCAAAAATAGCATGTTCAGTCAGATTAGAGAGAAACATAAAATTAGAAACAGGATGATAGTTTGAAAACAGTAATTAATGCCTGTGGAATGGCAGCTAGTGCTTGAGTGTGGGGAAAATGACCTATCAGTTTTACTGATGGTGGAACTTTTTTTTACCATTTTAGATTTATTTTATTCTTCATTCTACTGTCTGTATTTTGTTACTTTATTTTGTAAGTTTAAATTGTGTGGTTTAATAATATGAGAATGTAATTTCTCAGGTTTGTGGGTATAGGAGTAACACCAAGTATCCACATATATGCCTGCAGTGAGGATGGAGACCTACAGTCATATAATCTACTAGTCTACACTTTAGCTGGAGCTACTGTTTGTCTCACTCTCCCAGGTGGGCCATATATGAATGTCACCTAGCAGAATGTTTCATGCATATATAAATAAAATCTAGGTAGTAAGTTGGTAGACAGCAACCGCCCAGGGAGGTACTACCGTCCTGCCAAGTGAGTGTAAAACGGAAGCCTGTAATTGTTTTACATGATGGTAGGATTGTTGGTGTCTTTTTTTCTGTCTCATAAACATGCAAGATTTCAGGTACGTCTTGCTACTTCTACTTACACTTAGGCCACACTACACATACATGTACAAGCATATATATACTCACCCCTCTGGGTTTTCTTCTATTTTCTTTCTAGTTTTGTTCTTGTTTATTTCCTCTTACCTCCATGGGGAAGTGGAACAGAATTCTTCCTCCGTAAGCCATGCATGTTGTAAGAGGCGACTAAAATGCCAGGAGCAAGGGGCTAGTAACCCCTTCTCCTGTATATATTACTAAATGTAAAAGGAGAAACTTTTGTTTTTCCTTTTGGGCCACCCCGCCTCGGTGGGATACGGCCGGTGTGTTGAAAGAAAGAAAAGATAAATAAAATATCTAGGTAATAGGTTGGTAGACAGCAACCTCCTAGGGAGGTACAGTGGACCCCCGCTTAACGATCACCTCCAAATGCGACCAATTATGTAAGTGTATTTATGTAAGTGCGTTTGTACGTGTATGTTTGGGGGTCTGAAATGGACTAATCTACTTCACAATATTCCTTATGGGAAAAAATTCGGTCAGTACTGGCACCTGAACATACTACTGGAATGAAAAAAGTTCGTTAACCGGGGGTCCACTGTACTACCGTCCTGCCAATTGAGTGTAAAATGAAAGCCTGTAGTTGTTTTACATGATGGTAGGATTGCTGGTGTCCTTTTTTCTGTCTCGTGAACATGCAAGATTTCAGGTATGTCTTGCTACTTCTACTTACACTTAGGTCACACTACACATACATGTACAAGCACATATATACACACCCCTCTGGGTTTTCTTTTATTTTCTTTCTAGTTCTTATTCTTGTTTATTTCCTCTTACCTCCATGGGGAAGTGAAACAGAATTCTTCCTCCGTAAGCCATGCGTGTTGTAAGAGGCGACTAAAATGCCGGGAGCAAGGGGCTAGTAACCTCTTCTCCTGTATATATTACTAAATGTAAAAGGAGAAACTTTGGTTTTTTATTTTGGGCCACCCTGCCTTGGTGGGACACAGCCAATGTGTTGAAAGAAAAGAAAGAAAACATGCAAGATTTCAGGTACATCTTGCTACTTCTACTTACACTTAGGCCACACTACACATACATATACAAGCATATATATACATACCCCTCTGGGGTTTCTTCTATTTTCTTTCTAGTTCTTGTTCTTGTTTATTTCCTCTTATCTCCATGGGGAAGTGGAACAAAATTCTTCCTCCGTAAGCCATGCGTGCCATAAGAGGCGACTAAAATGCCGGGAGCAAGGGGCTGGTAACCCCTTCTCCTGTATAAATTACTAAATTTAAAAAGAGAAACTTTTGTTTTTCTTTTTGGGCCACCTTGCCTCGGTGGGATGTGGCCGGTTTGTTGACAGAAGAATATAGAAGTTACAGTAGTTCCATTTACATAAGTTTGTTTATAGTTTTGATACAATTATAATACAAATACAATTTGATACAAATGCATATTCAACAGAAAGCCACTTACAAGGCATAATACCATGATTGTTACAATACACAAATAACTTGCACATAGGAGAGAGAAATGAAAAACTTCTCTCTGTGTGGATTATTTGTGTAGAAAGTCACTTATTATGCAAGGCATTTTGGGCAAACTAATCCTAAGACTAACTTATTACTCAATACTGTCCTAGGTATTTTGCCAGTACAGCACAAGTAATTCACTCATCATAAGTTGGACACTTAAAACTAATTTATATGGATTTACATCAGAGAAATGATGTGCATTATATGGATTGGTAAAGTGGTGACAGTAAGGCATGAGTATTTATAATTATTGGAAATAACATTATGGAAGTCTTAATAGGGGCTTCTTTAATACCATTATTAATGCTGTTGCCAAATAGGGAACTTTTGTCATTTTCATGCAGTGAATGCCATAATGTTTGGATTTGATGAACTTGCTAGTGTTCAATGTCTCAATATTCTCCAGGTCTTTTTTATTTTTTTTTTAACACGTCGGCTGTTTCTCACCGAGGCAGGGTGACCCAAAAAGAAAGAAAAAAAACTTTTACAATTATTCAACACTTTCACCATCACTCATACATAATCACTGTCTTTGCAGTGGCGCTCAGATACGACAGTTTAGACGTCCCTCCAAACTGCCAGTGTCCCAAACCTCTCTTTTAAAGTGCAGGCATTGTACTTCCCATTTCCAGGACTCAAGTCCGGCTAGTCAGTTTCCCTGAATCCCTTCACAAAATATTACCCTGCTCACACTCCAACAGCTCGTCAGGTTCCAAAATCCATTCGTCTCCATTCACTCCTATCTAACACGCTCACGCACGCTTGCTGGAAGTCCAAGCCCTCGCCCACAAAACCTCCTTTACCCCTTCCCTCCAACCTTTTCAAGGATAACCCCTACTCCTCCTTCCCACCCCTACAGATTTATATGCTCTCCAAGTCTTTTTTATATCTCCATTAATTTGACTGAATCTTTTTGGAATAATGTAGTTGTTTTGACTTGAGTTTTTTTTAGCATAATAGTATATCTGCTGGCTAGTTCTTTAGGTATTAATCCCAGTCTATATTACTTCTTGTGGCTTTGCTCTTTGTCAGTAATATGAAAGTACAGGGTTGTATAATATTAAAAGTAAAAGAATTCAATGATGTAAGGAGTAAAAAGTTTATAGAAAAAGCAGTGGGGACAGTAGATCTAAAATAGATAGTAATGGGTAATATTTGCTATATTAAATCATTGTAGGATCAAATAAAGGAGTGTTTTTTTTGGCTAGTCAACCATGCTACTAGCAAAAAGTAATTATTACAACTATGTGGAGTTATGAGGTAGTGATTATATTGAAGATGGTTTACTTAGCCGATTGTGTTTGAGGACGGTGTTTAGGTCACATTAACAGGTTATATCGTGCTTCTGCAGTTTTCCTAACAATTTGACCGTTGTGTACAAATTCTATTACCATTACTCAAGTGAAGTTGTCTCAGCCTGAATAAAAATACCCGATGCTTTTTTGTGAGATGCTCACTCGCATAGATGCTTTTTCTGTTTTATTGAAGGGGTATTGGATCTGAACAAGACTGGTCATTTGCCTCCAGGTTTATCTAATACTGCTTCCTTAATATCTATAGGGTCTTTTGTGATGTGCATTTTATCTTTTTATTACTTGGATAGTGGCATCCCGACAGGTGTTTCCATCAATAGAAACGAAGTAGGTCACTATTGATAAGGGCATTTGCAAGCTGCTGCTGCAGCTGCTGTTTCATTTGATCAGTCTGTTTGTCCACTCCATCAGCTTTTTTGTTCAGGAGTTCAGTTAGCTGTGTTTCATTTTTTTTTTCAATCCATGTTTGTCTGATCACTCTTTTCATTGAGGGACCTTGTCTTGTAATAACCCCAGACGTCCATCAAAGGAGCTAGGAGACGAATCCCCGCAGAAGGACACTTTGGTTGGTCAAGGCCTGGTTGACTGGGCTATGTGGGGTAGGTGTAGGGGAGCTTACCTCAAGGTTGATGAGGGGGAGAAACTAGATAAAAGATAGTTTTTACCTGAGGTTGACTATATCTTGAAATTCTTTCTGGTGCTGGCCCTCCAATGTTTTCCTCTAACCATGAATTAGGCAATTAATGGCTGGAGGGTATGTAGGATGCACCTCAGTCCATTCAGGTTGGTAGTGTAGCATTCCTGACAGTGGAGATCCTTTGTCTGGTGTGCTAGATGGAGCAAATGCCAACTTGATTTTTTTTAGTTATCTATGTAATATATTGTTGGATGTCTTAGTAGGCCATTCTAGAAAACCTGGTTTACCCACAGAAGCTGTGTATTGTGGCGCAGAACTCCCATGCTGCTGCCACTGTAGCCACTGTAGTACAGTAGCGTATTATTTTTTCCCAATATCTCATCTCTTCCTTAAACATTTTAGTGCTAGTGATGTATGGTTATATTGTACTAGAAATTAAAATTTATATGAGTAATGGCTTGATAGCCTTTCAAATAATCATTGGTGATTATGTGTACCTCTTTCTGTAATATAGTATATGGTATTTGATATTTAAATACAGCCACTCCTCACTTACCGATGTACTCGTTTACCGACAACTTGAACTTACAACGGGCTCTCTGACCAGTATGCATACCTAAATAATATAGTATATTAGTGCAGATTTCCTCTGTTCTCTTTACTACAGTATACGGTACACTACTGTATAAACATTTAAAAATATACTAAAAATGTTGTAAATGGTACAAGGTGACATTAAAACAATATCAGAGATGGTCGACATAAACCCACTACCATTATAGTATGCTCCTTGCTTAATGACGAATTCATTTACTGACGTGGTCTTAGGAACGGAATTCCATCATTAAGTGAGGAGAGGCTGTATAAGAAATATCACAAGTATATAATGTATACTAAATTTGAAATTCAAAATCACATGAAAAGAATGATGACTGATGAATCCCGTTTTTTCATTCTTCAGAGAGAGAAGCACTAACACCGTCTTTATATGAAAAAATCGATCGACTGTTAGAGGCCAAAGTATCGCAATTAGCCAGTGACATAGGAGAACAAATCAACAAGAAAAGCAGTTCTGGCACCAGCTCTGACAGTGGGAGCAGCTCATTTAGATATGTCTATCATAACCACATGAACCTCGCCACCAAGACTACTGTGCATGGAACAAATCAATCGTTGCCAGCTGAAGTAATGAAGACAATAGGGGACATGCACATAGACATGAAAAAGTTAGTATCCATAATTTTGTTTAAATAACTTGCTCATTTTTAGTTAGGTAATACTGTTAGTACATCATATTCAAGAAAAAATTTATTTATTGTTCCAGGTAACCTTTCAAATTTTCATTGTTCAGAACCGAAAATACACTGACATTACAGTTACAGTGGACCCCTGGGTTTTATAATTAATCCATTCCAGAGAGAGTGACTAAACCCGAATCTGATGAATTCTGAATTAATTTTCCCCATAGGAAATACAGTGGAACCTCAAAAATCGAACTGCTCCCAACACAACCAATTATGTAAGTGTATTTTTGTAAGTGCTTTTGTAAGCGTATTTTTGAGGGTCTGAAATGGACTAATCTAATTTACATTATTCCTGATGGGAATAAATTCATTCGGTAAAGGCACTCGAACAGCCTTCTGGACTGAAGAAAGTTCGATATTTGAGGTTCCACTGTAATGGAAATCCAATTAGTCCGTTCCTGACACCCAAAAGTATTAAAATAAATACTTTTTTTACATGAAATATACATTTCCCTACACAGAAAACAATGAGACGTGCAAAATAAAACATTACTAAAATGACACCGTTATTGAAGACTTATTGATGAGTGATGAGACGAGAGGAGGGAAGAGGATGGAAGTATACTATTGTTTGGAAGGGGAATCCTCTTCCATAAAGACTTCAGGTACCAAGTCCTTTTCCGGGGTTACTTCCTTTTTTTGTTTTTTAATGCCACTAGGACCAGCTTGAGAGTCTCTGGACCCCTGTTGCTCAAAAAAGTGTTCCAGAGAGGTCTGTTTCTGGTGTTTCTTTAAAACTTCCCTAAAATAGGACACAACATTGTCATTGTACATGTTGCCAACACAGCCCACAGCAGCTTTGTCAGGGTAATGTTCATCCATAAATGTTTGCACCTTTGTCCACATTGTACAAATGTCCTTAATCTTTGAAGAAGGCACCTTCCTCCATCTCTCTTCCTCCTCCTCTGAAGCAATTTCCTGAGCTGTGGTCTGTTGCTGTTGCAGATGAAGGTCTTGCAGCTCTGTAGTGGTTAGCTCTTCATCGTGGTCCTCCTCCAACTCTTCCACAGCCTCGAAACTTGCATCCAACCCCATGGAATTCCCCAATGCCACAGTAGATTCCACAGCTGGCATAGGCTCCTTGGGGTCAGCCCCAAACCCTTCAAAATCCCTCTCTTGTACACATTGTGGCCACAATTTTCTCCAAGCAGAGTTCAAAGTCCTGGAAGTCACTCCCTCCAAAGCCTTACCTATAAGGTTTATGCAACTGAGGATACTGAAGTGATCTTTCCAGAACTCTCTTAGGGTCAATTCAGTGTCTGAGGTCACTTCAAAGCACTTTTGAAACACTGTACAGTTTTTTGAAATTTGAAATGACCTACTGATCCATGGGCTGGAGGAGAGGAGTGGTATTAGGGAGCAAGAACTTCACTTTGATGAAACGAAACTCCTGCACCATTTGCTCTTCCAAGTCTGGAGGATGAGTAGGAGCATTGTCCATTACCAGGAGGCACTTGAATTCCAATTTATTTTCCAGGAGCTATTTTTTCACACTGGGGCCAAACACATCATGGAACCAATCAAGGAAAATGTCTCTTGTGACCCGTGCATTACTGTTTGCCTTCCACATCACACTCTTGACGACACTGTTCTTCTTGAACACACTGGGATTTTCAGTGATACACCAGTAAAGGCTTCACCTTGAAATCCCCACTAGCATTACTACAAAACATGAGCGTTAGCCTGTCTTGGGAGTGCCTTTTCCTCCTGAGTAATGTAGGTCCTCTTTGGCATTTTCTTCCAAAAGAGGCCTGTTTTGTCACAACTGAACACTTGTTGGGGTTTGAATTTTTCAGCTTCTATGTACCCCTTGAAGTCCTGGACATATTTTTCATATTTTTGCCAGAACTGGCAGCCTCACCATGCCTTATCACACTGTGTATGCCACTACAATTCTTAAATCTCTCAAACCAGCCTTTGCTGGCCTTAAATTCACCAATATCAGCACTAGTTTCCAGGCATTTTCTTTATGAGATCATTATGCAACTGCCTTGCCTTTTCACATGTTATTGAATGCATAACACTATCTCCTGATAATTGTTTCTCATTGATCCACACCAACAACAAAGTCTCCACATCTTCCAGTATTTGTAATCTTTGTTTTGTAAGCATATTTGAACCTTTAGCAACAACAGCTTCCTTGATTTCCTTTTTCTTGGCCACGATAGAAGCGATGGTTGTATGGAGTTTTATATACAACCTGGCCAGCTCGGCGACACGCACTCCACTTTCATATTTTGCAATGATCTCTTTCTTGAATTCTTTAGTGTTTCTCACCCTCTTTACCAAAGGGCTGGCACTAGAAGCTTTCTTTGGGCCCATGGTGGCTTATTTAGCAGTTACAAGCACCAAACAGAATGGAATAATACAAAATGTATTGTATGAACGCTTGGGACCGTCCTCACTGACTGGTAAACAATGGCACACTGGCTGTACATGGAGTGTCAGGGCCACTCAGGCTGGGCAGACACTTTCTGGACAAATGACTTATTCCGAGTTCATTGACGATCACTGAGCCAATATTTCTACGAAAAAATTTTACTTATTCCGAATATTACATATTCCGATGACATAATCCGAGGGTTCACTGTATTACATTATTATTATAATCAAAACTAAGCACTAAACCCACAAGGGTGAGCCAGCTGCAAAATTCTAAATTTCCTGGTTTATAATTGTCCTTATTGGTACAGAATGCACTATGGGAATCTTAGCACAAAATAAATGAAGCTTTAGTTTCATTAGCCATATACTGTAGTTGCATTCTGTACCTGGAGTTGTGTTAGTGTCTAAGGTAATCAGGTTTGATTCAAGGGGAAAGGTAGCTCCAATTCCTTGGACCAAAAGTTCGGCATTTAGGCACCTCCATCAAGGGGTGAAAATTTTCTTACTGCATTTTTTTTTTTTTTTTTTTTTTTTTTTTGTGAGGAGGATAGTCTCCTGACTACTAGTTTCCTTTTGTTTCTCCTTTGCTTTAATTTTCCCTAATACATTTTATTGGTATATGTTTAAGTAATTCAAATGCAGTTTTGATAAAGTTAACATTAAAAATATGTAGATGGGTAAAGAAAAATTCAAGGCTGTTTATTATTTCTGCTCTGAATGTGGGTAATAAAATTTTCAATAATTTGTTTTTTAACACTGGTAAGGTATGTATGAAAATATGAATCAGATTAAAGTGATATAATCTACAAGACACCAAATCAGAAAAAAATTATTATGCAGACTATATTTTGTATTAGCCATTTCTACCTTCATGGCATCTCAAGGCATGTAACCCCTGTGTATTTGTAGGGTTGACTTTGCAGATAGGTACAGTTATGTATTGTACATTATTTTGGTAAAGCTTACATTATGTGCAGCATTTTGGGTAGCACAGTACATTATACAGTGGACCCCCACATACCGTTGGCATCACATAACGTTAAATCCGCATACCGATACATTTTATTGCTAAGATTTTGCCTCGCATACCGCTAAAAAACCCGCTCAACGCTATTCGTCCGAGACGCGTCTAATGTGCGGCCTGAGCCAGCCTCACATGTTCCGCTGGTGGCATTGTTTACCAGCCAGCCTCCGCGGTAACATCCAAGCATACAATCGGAACATTTCATATTATTACAGTGTTTTTGGTGATTTTAATTGCAAAATAAGTGACCATGGGCCCCAAGAAAGCTTCTAGTGCCAACCCTACAGGAATAAGGGTGAGAATTACTATAGGGTGAGAATTACTCAGATATGGTAAACATGAGGAAATTAAATCTTCATCAGAGTACAAAACAAATTCTGGCCACAAAATAGAGCGAAACACCAACGTCAAAGACCTGGGAGTGATCATGTCGGAGGATCTCACCTTCAAGGACCATAACATTGTATCAATCGCATCTGCTAGAAAAATGACAGGATGGATAATGAGAACCTTCAAAACTAGGGAGGCCAAGCCCATGATGACACTCTTCAGGTCACTTGTTCTATCTAGGCTGGAATATTGCTGCACACTAACAGCACCTTTCAAGGCAGGTGAAATTGCCGACCTAGAAAATGTACAGAGAACCTTCACGGCGCGCATAACGGAGATAAAACACCTCAATTATTGGGAGCGCTTGAGGTTCCTAAACCTGTATTCCCTGGAACGCAGGAGGGAGAGATACATGATTATATACACCTGGAAAATCCTAGAGGGACTAGTACCGAACTTGCACACGAAAATCACTCACTACGAAAGCAAAAGACTTGGCAGACGATGCACCATCCCCCCAATGAAAAGCAGGGGTGTCACTAGCACGTTAAGAGACCATACAATAAGTGTCAGGGGCCCGAGACTGTTCAACTGCCTCCCAGCACACATAAGGGGGATTACCAACAGACCCCTGGCAGTCTTCAAGCTGGCACTGGACAAGCACCTAAAGTCAGTTCCGGATCAGCCGGGCTGTGGCTCGTACGTTGGTTTGCGTGCAGCCAGCAGCAACAGCCTGGTTGATCAGGCTCTGATCCACCAGGAGGCCTGGTCACAGACCGGGCCGCGGGGGCGTTGACCCCCGGAACTCTCTCCAGGTAAACCCAGGTAAAGAGATGAAGAAAGAGATCATTGCTAAGTATGAAAGTGGAGTGCGTGTCTCCGAGCTGGCCACGTTGTATAGTAAACCCCAATCAACCATCGCTACTATTGTGTCCAACAAAACGGCAATCAAGGAAGCTGTTATTGCCAAAGGTTCAACTGTGTTTTCGAAACAGAGATCGCAAGTGATGGAAGATGTTGAGAGACTCTTATTGGTGTGGATAAATGAAAAACAGATAGCAGGAGATAGCATCTCTCAAGTGATCATAAGTGAAAAGGCTAGGAAGTTGCATGAGGATTTAATTAAAAAAATGCCTGCAACTAGTGATGATGTGAGTGAATTTAAGGCCAGCAAAGGTTGGTTTGAGAGATTTAAGAAGCGTAGTGGCATACATAGTGTGATAAGGCATGGTGAGGCTGCCAGTTCGGACCACAAAGCAGCTGAAAAATATGTGCAGGAATTCAAGGAATACATAGACAGTGAAGGACTGAAACCTGAACAAGTGTTTAATTGTGATGAAACAGGCCTGTTTTGGAAGAAAATGCCAAGCAGGGCCTACATTACTCAGGAGGAAAAGGCAACTCCCAGGACATAAGCCTATGAAAGACAGGCTTACTCTGTTGATGTGTTCCAATGCTAGTGGTGATTGCAAAGTGAAGCCTTTATTAGTGTATCACTCAGAAACTCCCAGAGCGTTCAGGCAAAAGAATATCCTCAAGGCTAATTTGTGTGTGCTGTGGAGGGCAAACAGTAAGGCATGGGTCACTAGGGACTTTTTCTATGACTGGTTACACCATGCATTTGAACCCAATGTGAAAGATTACGTAACTGAAAAGAAATTAGACCTTAAGTGCCTCCTGGTGTTAGACAATGCCCCTGGTCATCCTACAGACGTGGCAGAGTGACTTTATGGGGACATGAGCTTCATTAAGGTGAAGTTTTTGCCTCCTAATACCACTCCTCTCCTGCAGCCCATGGACCAGCAGGTTATTGCAAACTTCAAAAAACTGTACACAAAAGCTCTGTTTGAAAGGTGCTTTGTAGTGACCTCAGAAACTCAATTGACTCTAAGAGAGTTTTGGAGAGAGCACTTTAATATCCTCAATTGTGTAAACCTTATAGGTAAGGCTTGGGAGGGAGTGACTAAGAGGACCTTGAACTCTGCTTGGAAGAAACTGTGGCCAGAATGTGTAGACCAAAGGGATTTTGAAGGGTTTGAGGCTAACCCTGGGAATCCTATGCCAGTTGAGGAATCCATTGTGGCATTGGGAAAGTCCTTGGGGTTGGAGGTTAGTGGGGATGATGTGGAAGAGTTGGTGGAGGAGGACAATGAAGAACTAACCACTGATGAGCTGCTAGATCAACTTCAACAGCAAGAGGCCAGACCTGAGGAAACTGCTTCGCAGGAGGGGAGAGAGAAACTGAAGAAGTTGCCTACTTCAAAGATTAAGGAAATGTGTGGAATGTGGCTTAAAGTGCAAATCTTTTTTGATGACAATCACCCTAACACAGCTATTGCAAGCCGTGCTGGTGACTATTACACTGACACTGTTGTGAAACACTTTAGGAAAGTCATAAAGGAACGATAGGTACAGGCCACTATGGACAGATATGTTGTGCGACAGAAGTCCAGTGACTCTGAAGCTGGTCCTAGTGGCATTAAAAGAAGAAGGGAAGTAACCCCAGAAAAGGACTTGACACCTCAAGTCTTAATGGAAGGGGATTCCCCTTCTAAACATTAAGACTCTCTCTTCCTCCCATCCCATCAATCATCACCAGATCTTCAATAAAGGTGTCATGTAACTGTGCATGTTTTTTTCAGTTTGTGTGTATTAAAATTAATATTTCATGTGGTAAAAATTTTTTTTTTCATACTTTGGGGTGTCTTGCACGAATTAATTTGATTTCCATTATTTCTTATGGGGAAAATTCATTCGCATAACAATAATTTCGCATAACAATGAGCTCTCAGGAACAGATTAATATCGTTATGTGGGGGTCCACTGTATATACATCTATTTGTATTTAATGTATTTCAGGTGCAGTAGTGGAGAGTTAGTAGTGAAAACTTCACAAGATCACTGGGTTGTGGGGCGTAGTGGAGATGGTAGAGAATTTTATGTTGTTGTTAGCCACAAGAATGCCAACCTGGTGGAAGTAACAGGTGAGTTTATACTATTTGATTAGACAAAATATCATAGATATGCCTAATGTTTAATTTGTATTTATTTTAAATGGAGCTATGATAGTTTTAGGCAGAACAGGGATCTCGGTTTGACATATTACCTAGATGGTTTCTGCAGTGATGATTGTATAGTATCCAGGAGACTTTTGTGTGAGGATGTTAGATATGAGTGAATGGAGACGAGTGATTTCAACTGATATGCTGTTGAAGAGTGAGAAAGTTAATTTTTAGGAAGGAATTCCTGGAAACTGGTTAGCTGGACTAAAATCCTGGAGGTGGAAAGGAAGGGTGAAGATGTTTTAGGCCACAGTGTTCATCTGAAGCTTCTGAGAGAGCAAATGAATGAATGATGATGTTGTTTCCATATAATTTTTTTTTTTCGGGGGGCTGGGAGATAGCCATTGAAGTGAAAAGAAATGTATGCATAAAAATATGGAAAGATTTTTGGGAGGTGTTGCAGCACTACATGACCCTTGTGTGTTTAGCGCTTAGTGTTAAGTGAATGTTTAGGGAGTTTTGAGTCAGGTGAGAGAATTGTTGTAGGAGCACCTAAATGCTAAAGTAAGACCATTCTAAATGGTGTAGTAGGTAAGTTTGGAATGCCAGGGGTAAATGATAATTGTGGCCCTTGATTGAATTGTTAATGGGTAGACCTGTGGAGGTGCATGTTTTTAGGGAGTAATAGATGTTGGATCATTATTTAGTGGGAGCTTCAGTAAGAGAAAAGCTAAAATGAATAAAGGTGACAGTTAAGGAAAGATATAAGCTATTGGGAAAGAAATATGCAGTAATGAGGAAGTCAAAAGAGATATGGGGTAAATTTAAGAATGCAGTGATTGGGTGCACAACAAAAGTTTGTGGCCTTAAGAGGATGGATGCAGGTGGGAAGAGGAAGGATTGGTGGAATTATGAGGTAAAGAAGGGTGATAAGGGAGAAAAAGAGTAAGAGAGGTTTTTACAAGATGGAAATCATATGAAGGCAGAGTATATGGGAAAGAAAAGATAGGTTAAAAGCGTGGTGAGAGAGTGCAGACAGAACTAATGAATGTCTCAAAACTCCAGACCGTCACGTTAGCCACTAGACCAGCTAGCCACAATAAGATTCATCCAACTAGGTATATTTCTACACCATAGGAAGGTTAGCACAGGCACCACTGTGACCACAAATGCAAGTTTTTACAGACGAATCTCCAGCTAGCGTGGCTAGCTGGAGTTTAATCCCGGCCGGGGTATGGTTTAGAACTAATGAAAGAATTGCATAGAATTAGAGGGGATATGATTGAGGTGTATAAATGGAAAACAAGAATATATAAAGGGGATGTAAATAACTTGCTAAAAATATCTAGCCAAGACAGGACTTGCACTGGTTTGGTAATAGAGTTGTGGATGAGTGGAACACACTCCCAAGTACCATCATAGAAGCTAAGATGTGTACTTTTTAAGATAAGTTAGATAAATACATGAGTGGGTGTGGTTGGGTGCGAGTTGGACATGACTAGCTTGGGCTGATGGGTCTGATGCCGTGCTCCTTCCTTAAGGTGGTGTGACCTGCCCTACTAGGCTTGGGCTGGTGGATGACTTGGACCTGCTGCAGTGTTCCTTATTTCTTATGTTCTTATGTATCAGTAAATTTTGCTGAGATTAAGGAATAGTTTTGGAGATCAGTGAAGTGAAAAAGCCTAGAGCAAGTGGACATTGCAGTTAAAAATGAAAGAGGAAAGATGGTAGATGGAGAAATAGTAGTGGGAAGATGGAGAAATGTTGAAAATTTAACATTAACACTTTTAACTGTGGGAGATCCTGGAAAAAAAAAATTCTTGTGTGGGAAGTTTTTTGAAAAATAGAAATATTTTTTCTTAGATAGGTTGTTTTTCTGAATCGAGTAAGACTAAAATGATCAAAATTTGCTAAAATTTTATGATTTTATAGTGTGTTGAAGTTGGTGAAAAATTATCACTAATCGGCATAAAGAGCCAGCAAAATTTATTGATACTAATATACAATAGTTTTTCTGCATTTTTTAATTGCTTTAATGGTTAACATTATATATACTAGTTTTTATAATAGATGTGTTTCAAGGTGTTTTAGCACTGCATACATTGCTTCATTTGGAATACAGGTCTCCCTCAACATTCACGTTTTCAGCTTTCGCGGGCTTCACACATTCGCGAATTCCCAACCACCAAATTCCCAGCCACCAAATTCCCAACCACCAAATCATATTCAAGTTTCCCCGCCACCTGCGAGTCCCTACTACCCTCCCACCGACCCCTGCAACTGGCAGCCAGCCCTCCCACCACTCAGTGTGGTGAGTGTTTTGGTTGTTCATTATTTGCTATTAAACTACAGTATAAATAATGCAAACTCATTCATGACTGCATATTGGAATGGCTATTCGGACAGGTATTAGACGGTGACATCATGTGTTTACTCTTGAACACAGCAAAGAATCAAACATTTCTGCTACTGCTAATAATAACAATAGTAATAATAATAATAATAAATACGATATAATTGAAGGAAGTTGTACAAAAATACGAGGGAGTGGTTGACACATCGTCAGTGTGGCTTTGTTTATGCTGGAGTGAACATTAGTCTCCCTGTTCTTCCAAACATTTCACAATAATTCATTGTGTTTGGTGCTTGTAGATTGAGTGTGACTGGAGTGGTAGAGGCAGTGGTAGAGGCAGTGGTAGAGGCAGTGGTAGAGGCAGTGGTAGAGGCAGTGGTAGAGGCAGCAATTGAGGCAGCAATTGAGGCAGCAATTGAGGCAGCTGTTGAGGCAGCGATTGAGGCAGCGATTGAGGCAGCGGTTGAGGCAGCGGTTGAGGCAGCGATTGAGGCAGTGGGTGAGGCTGCTGTTGAGGCTGCTGTTGAGGCAGCAATTGAGGCAGTGGGTGAGGCAGCTGTTGAGGCAGTGGGTGAGGCAGCTGTTGAGGCAGCGATTGAGGCAGTGGGTGAGGCAGCGATTGAGGCAGCTGTTGAGGCAGCTGTTGAGGCAGCGATTGAGGCAGCTGTTGAGGCAGCGATTGAGGCAGCTGTTGAGGCAGCGATTGAGGCAGTGGGTGAGGCAGCTGTTGAGGCAGCGATTGAGGCAGTGGTATTTAATAACATGTTATTAATAATAATACAAGTTATTAATAATATGTACTATTATTATTTATAACATATATGTTATTAAATACCACTGCCTCAACCGCTGAATTATTGTGAAATGTTTGGAAGAGCACAGAGACTAATGCTCACTCCAGCATAAACAAAGCCACACTGACGATGTGTCAACCACTCCCTCGTATTTTGTACAATTTCCTTCTTCAATTATATCATATTATTATTATTATTATTATTATTATTATTATTATTATTGTTACTATTGTTATTATTAGCAGTAGCAGAAATGTTTGATTCTTTGCTGTGTTCAAGAGTAAACACATGATGTCACCGTCTAATACCTGTCCGAATAGCCATTCCAATATGCAGTCATGAATGGGTTTACATTATTTATACTGTAGTTTAATAGCAAATAATGAACGAACAAAACACTCACCACACTGAGTGGTGGGAGGGCTGGCTGTCAGTTGCGGGGTTCGGAGGGAGGGTAGTAGGGACTCGCAGTGGTTGAGGAAGTGGTGGAGGCAGTGGTGGAGTCTGTGGTATTTAATAACATACATGTTATTAAAGCATAACGTGTATATATTTAGTACAATTTACGATGTTTTCATGTATTTTATGATTGTTCATGGTTCAACAAGTTAAGGAAGCAGTATTGTATCATATTTCCCTACAATATATTGGGGCACCAAACATTCACGGTTTTTCAACATTCGCGAGGCTCTTGACCCCCTAACCCTTGCGAATGTTGAGGGAGACCTGTAATTGGCACATATACGATATGACTTTTTTTTTATTTTGGTCTTCTAAGGCTACGTATAAGAAATGCTTATAACATTACAATCGTTTCAGAGTGTAATGCCCCTCAAAACATGGAAATGAGTAATATTTATTTACTTTGCTGGGTTATATATGCAGCATACTTTATAATTGTCATTTTACGTTTTTTTCTACTATTTTGGTCTTCTGAGGCTATGTACAAGGAAAACCTAAAATATTACGATTACAGTGGTACGTTGGTACTCGTCCACTTTAGAATAAGTCCAACTTGGTATACGTCCTGTTTGCATGCGAAAATTTTTGCTTCGTAGATGACCTTAGTTTGGAAAATGACTCCCGTGGTAGAACTTGTGGGTCAAAATGAGTCGTGACACCACGTGCTACCCTTGTTTACCTCTCTCGAGACAAAGCCAGGACTGCCCACTAGCATCAGTACGCACATTGCTACCATTCAGTGAACAACCCACGCTGTAATTCTGTGAATTTTCACATGATTTTGTGTTGTATAAATTTTTAGTAAATTCATTAACCATGAGTTTTAAGAAAGTTAATGGGAAGAGCCAAGCAACAAGAAAATGGTTAGGATCACCATGGAGGTGAAAAAAGAGATCATTGAAAAGTATGAAGATGGCACGTGTATCTGGGACTTGGCTGCTGCATGCCGTATGCCGAGAACAACGGTATCCATGATTGTGAAAAACAAAGATGTTATTAAATCAGCTAACGTTGCAAAGGAGGTGAACTCAGTTACCAAACAAATATCACGGACATTAGAGCATATTAAAAAATTGCTTTTGATCTGGATAACAGAAAAACAGTGCCAGCGATAGTGTATCAGAGGCAGTGATTTGCGAAAAGGCACAACTGATGCATGCCGATCTTTTGAAAACCAAGGCAGGAACTAGCCATGAAAGTGAAGTGTTTTAAGCCAGCCAGGGCTGGTTTGATAATTTTAAGAGGACTGGCATTCATAGTGTTGTGAGGTAGGGAGAGGGAGCCATTGCTGATAAAGATGCTGCCAGTGATTTTGTTAGAGTTTGGGGAACTTGTGGAGGCTTAGGGTTTTGTTCCCCAACAAGTTTTTTGTTTTTTGTGATGAAACAGGGCTGTTTTGGAAGAAAAATGCCTAACAGAACCTGTATTACACAAGAGGACAAGGCATTACCAGGACACAAGCCAATGAAGGATAGGTTAACTCTCTTGCTCTGTGCCAATGCAAGTGGGGATTGCAAACTGAAGCCTCTACTGAGAAGGCAGAAGCAGAGTTCTTTGGACAGATTTTTAGTTAAAGTCAAACCTGGTGAGCTTCAACCAGGTCCAAATAGGGAAAAAGAACAGAAAGGAGAAGGGGACTCTCCTTCCTTTCTCAGCACTATCCTAGTAGGCACTCAACTTTTGTCAGCATAATAAAGTGAGATTAAATTTGCAATGTTTAAATTACATACTTTAGTATTAAGCAGTGTTTAAATTATTTTATACAGCCCCATCAATGTATAATATGCCAGTAACAATAGGATTTTTTTTCATGGAAACTGATTAATCGTTTTCCCTATATTTCTTATGGGAAAATTTGTTTTGGTATATGTCCTGTTTCTTATAAGTCCAAGGTCTTGGAACAGATTCAGGACATATACCAAGGTACCAATGTATCTTAGAGTATAATATTCATCAAAACATAGAAATTATTCACATTGTTTGACTTTACTGGGGGTATACCTAGTGCGCTTTTGGGCTGAATTTATACTGTTCTTTCTTCTTCTTTCAACACACCGGCCGTATCCCACCGAGGCGGGGTGGCCCAAAAGGAAAAACGAAAGTTTCTCCTTTTACATTTAGTAATATATACAGGAGAAGAGGTTACTAGCCCCTTGCTCCCAATTTATACTGTTAGTATTATGAAATCGTAATAAATTTGGACTGGATAAGTAATCTTTGATCCACTTGCACACCTTGTTTGCTGGTAGGGAAGCTGGTGGTGAAACAACAGTGCCAGATGAATGTGGCCCATGGCCGGACTATGGGAGTAGAAACTCTCGAAATTCATCAAAGATATATTCCGGTTCATTGTTTACTTTTGCTAGTGAGGCATACTAGTATGTTGGACACAGTCATCCCCTGTGCATTTATCCCTGATACATTGCATGCACCCTGCTGGCCTTAAAGAAGACAAGAGTTGCCCTGGAGGTAAAAAAAAAATAGTGGCAGAGGTAGATTTGTGGTTACAGAAAATGTTGTGTACCAATACATCAGACACAGTACCACCACCTGTGTACTAGTATGTCAAACACAGTTAAAGGATTAATGATGAAAAGTGGTTGTGATTTCATGCATTGGGCAAGAATACAATCATGTAGGAGCGAGGAAGGGCATGGGTGGGAAGTGCACGAAGCAGTAGGGGTGGGTAAAGCAGCTGGGACATATTAATATATTTGAAACAGGTGAAGATTGTATAGAGTTTAAAGCACAGTATTACTGTTGGAGAGAGGGGGTAAAGGAGGTTTTGTGGGTAAGGGGCTTGGACTTCCAGCAAGCGTGCGTGAGCGTGTTAGATAGGAGTGAATGGAGACGAATGGTACTTGGGACCTGACGATCTGTTGGAGTGTGAGCAGGGTAATATTTAGTGAAGGGATTCAGGGAAACCGGTTATTTTCATATAGTCGGACTTGAGTCCTGGAAATGGGAAGTACAATGCCTGCACTTTAAAGGAGGGGTTTGGGATATTGGCAGTTTGGAGGGATATGTTGTGTATCTTTATATGTTTATGCTTCTAGACTGTTGTATTCTGAGCACCTCTGCAAAAACAGTGATAATGTGCGAGTGTGGTGAAAGTGTTGAATGATGATGAAAGTATTTTCTTTTTGGGGATTTTCTTTCTTTTTTTGGGTCACCCTGCCTCGGTGGGAGACGGCCGACTTGTTGAAAAAAAAAAAAAAAAAAAAATTATTATAAAAAAAAGTGCTAAACCTACAAGGGTCATACAGTGCAGCAGGGCAGAGAAGGTTATAGGGGTATTGGGTATCAAGAGAGAGGGATGATTATTAGGTCATGGACTGCAGCAGGGCAGGGGTAGAGGGTAGCAAGAGATTGAGATAGAAAGGGCTGTGAGGAGTGCTAGAGGCATCATCAGAGTTTGCGCAGTAAATCAGTTGCAGTCAAAAAATCAATGAGAGTCTGGGTTAAAGGAGGGTCCATCAGCAAGAAGGGAAGGTAAAGCAAGGACAATAGAACATTGACTTTAAAGCACCGGTGTCTAAGTAAGGATTGGCAGTTCCCTTGTATGAGGAAGAAGGGGACAAGAGAGAATGCAGGAATTGTTTAGAAAATTGACACTTTGAAGAATGACTCATAGGGGGTCATACAGCACCTGGAAAAATGGTATACATTCAGATTAGATTAAAGGAATTGGAGTACAGATCCACTTCCTTAGATCAAGAGCCCCTCACCAGTATTCAAGAAGCTCTCTTCGGGGATGATGGTCTTGGCAGATATACAAAAATTTTCCTTCATTCTCAGTCAAGCTCCAAATGTTTTAAGATATCCTTTTGAATTGTTAAACTGAAAACTACCTACTCGTGCATTATTTTTTCCAGATGAAGTCAATCGGATGTGTGCCAGCCATTTCAGCAACATCTTTATGATCGAGTAATACTGGTAGTGGATAGTTTTAAGTGCATTCTTTTGACTTCTGATCACTTTGATCTTCAGGTATTTTGACACTAGGTGATATTGATCATATGTACAGATTGAGTCGGAGTCCATGTGATTGCCAAAGCTTATGATTATTATAGAGTAATGATGTATTAGCATATCTTCAACCCTTTTGTATATATATTTAAGAATTTTATAAAAAAATTAAATACCCCATACTGTACTTTGTGGCCATTTCTGGAGTAATGGGAAAAGGTAATTAATAAGTCAGTGATGACTTCCCATGTAAAATAGAAAGCACAATAAAGTAGTTGCAAGGAATGAACAAGAGCTAGTTACCCTTTGGGATTATTAGTGTTGTAAAATTTATGATAATTTAGCTGTTATTTGATATGTCTGGATCTACATATGATTACCATATTTAATTTTCTTTCAATGTTTATGGTTTAAAAATTAGTCAGATCTGAGGTTTTATAAACTTCAATAATATATTGAAAAGAAGTGTGAACAGTACACCACATAGAAAATTCTCTAATGAAATGTAGTACTTGTTAATATTAAGGTAAGTATAAAATAAAAATATTGGCTCTGACACACAACATTTTAAGCAGTTTAGGCTCATTACATCACAGGTATAAAATACTGACAAATTGAATAACATGTGCAACACCTGGGTATCTGTATTAGTGAAATGTTTTGTGTGCAGATTATTATTATTATTACAATCAAGGGGGAAGCGCTAAACCCGGAGGATTATACAGCGCCTGGGGGGGGGGGGGATGTGGAAGGCATTTGTGTGCAGAGCAGGCTTTATTGATCAGGTACCAGGTACTTGGTATGTTAGCCTTGATTAACCCTTTTACTGTCTTCTGTGTAGATCTAACAGAGGATAACTTTAGTTGCTGGAATGCATAGTTTACTTTGCATTCAGTTTTTAAATTTTAATCTTGTGTAAAATTGGCCAACTTAGACTTTTGTGTACTTCATAGGGTAGCTCTAATAGTTAAAGGGCAGTTTCTTGTGCTCAGTCGATAGAATGGAAGGCATGTCAAAATTGCTAAGAATGGGATGGAATTAGCTTCTATCAAATTAAGTATTTTTGGTGTCATTATTTCATGTTTTTTTGTTTTTAAATCTTGATATTGGAGTGACATCTGAACTGTCATATCTGGGCACCTCTGTGAATGATGGTGCAAGTGTTTCTTTTTTGGGCCACCTGCCTCTTTGGGAGATGACTGATATGTTGAAAAAGAAAAAATTATCAGTCTTTAGTTTCAGGGGTCCCATCAGTGAAAAGTTAAAATATTCTCTGAAAGGTGTCCATTATTATTATCAAAAAGAAACGCTAAACCCACTAAGGTCGTGCAGCACTTATGAAAGGTGTCCAGTCCCTTAGCCTTGGTCTACCTCCAAAACAGAGGCATAAGAGAGATACATCCATAAGGAGAGCTAGAGGTTAGTAATAGAATTGTAGGGGATTAAGTGTGATGCAGCCATTGGAGACCTGGTCACTGGTCAAAGCAGGTGTTCATAAACTAGGGTAGATGTTAGCAATAGATATGAAGATATCTTCTATACCAAGATTCCATAATGGTTTCTTGTCACACAAGTATCATTGCATAAAAGGTAGTAATTATAATCATGGGGGAATGCTAAACAAAAGGTAGTAATATCATTAACTTAACAAGACATGTGTAGCAGCTGGGTATCCTTATTGGCAAGATGTTTCACCTCCACACTAATATCAACCATTTGATTGATAAAGCACGGTGTGCAGGCAAAACATCTTGCCAGTAGATACCCAAGTGTTGCACATGGTTTCATCACTTTATGGGTATTGATAACACTATGGAATGTTGATGTGGATATCTTTAATGCTATTGCCAACTCCTGGCCCTCCTGAGAATGACCTACCGCTGCTAGTGGGTCCTGTCCAGGTGTGATCATCTCTTCAATTGCTGCATCTTTCTCTTAAATCTCCACTCTAGTCTGGCTCACCTTAAGAGCATGATCTGCTTTCTATTTATATTATTATTATAATCAAGGGGGAAGCGCTAAACCCGTAGGATTATACAGCTTTCTATTTATAGGTCCCTCCTACAAGTGACAATGTCTTTAACTGCTACACCTCCCTTTGGGCCCAGTATGCATTTCCATCCTCATGCCTCTGTATTAGAAGTAGGCTATGGGACTGAACATCTTTCATAGTGTTGTAATGTTAATCAAAACATATCCACAGACCAAAATCCCCCACTCGTGCTGGTATGACTAGTACTGTTTCATTGCTCCAATACTTTCATTTCGCTGGGGAAAGTACTGGATTTTTTTTATAAAGAAAAATGTCTTGCCAATGAATATAACCAGGAGTTGCACATGTTATCAATTTAAAATTGGTATGTAGATATAAAATGTGAAGAAAATATTCCATTCATATTAATGTAACTGATTAGGCATTCTGAAGGGCAGGTTAAAGTTACATTTATTACTTGACAACAGTGCAAGCCCTTCAGGAAACTTGCATTGTGATACTGTGGGGGGTCTTGATCCAGTGAACTGTACGTATCCTCTCCTTGGGTCGATGCTGAATGCCTCATTTCCCAGGTGCAATACAGCCTCTACAGGCTTAGTGCTTCCCGTTAAATTTGCAGTATGATCAGGTTAAACACATCTTAAAAATAGCTAAATGTACAACTGCACTTTACGGTTAAATATTTATTTTCTGTTTTCACGTTTTCGAAGTTCTAGAATTCCATACAGGGTGAATTGATGTTACACATGTAAATTATATATGCTATACCTCAAGAACTTCATATGTGAAGTGTATATAATTAATATAGTTTCAGACAAGCTATGTGTATACTGTAATATAAATAGTATGTGCAACAGGCTAATATTTTATAAATCTGAGATTTTGCAAGTTTAATGTTATACATAATTTATAAATACACATTTAAATTTGTTTATATTGTGATAATGAATCCTTTATAAAACACAAATGGACATGGAAATGAAGCAAGGTCTTATGATATAACATTTGCTGTACAAGCCTATTAAGAGATTTTCAGTAGGAAAGTTTAACAGAAGCCACAGTCTGAAGCATCTGTCCTTTCTTATAAACACAGTTATCATATTTTACCCTTCACTATCGTTTAGTCAATGAATTCACTGTTGGCTTTCAAGAATAAGCATTAGATGTATCAGATAGGTGTGTCGTAGAAAGGACATTAGTTTCATATGGAGACTACTGGTAGAGTATGTCACACAGTAGTTTGTTAAACTTTCACAATGAAAAAACTTAGGAAGATAAAAAATAATATAAACAAGTTAAGAAAGCCTAGGGAATGAATGGATTTGTCAGTTAAAAACAGTAGGGGAGATAGATGGGGAGCCAGAGGTATTGTGTAGATTGCGTGAATATTTTGAAGAACTTTTAAATGTTGATGAAGAAAGGGAGGTGGTAATTTCATGCACTGGTCAGGGAGGTATAGCTTCTTTAGGAATGAAGAAGAGCAGGACGAGTGTGGGGGAGGTGCGCGAGGCACTACGTAGAATGAAAGGGGTAAAGCGCCTGAATTGATGGGATCATGACCGAAATGTTAAAAACAGGGGAGGATATTGTGTTGGAGTGGTTGGTATTTTTTTTTTTTTTTAATAAATGTACGAAAGAAAGGTACTTAGGGATTGGCAGAGAGCATGTATAGTTCTCTTATATAAAGGGAAGAGGGCTAAGGAGATGGTAAACTTATTCCCCTATAATTTTTACAAAGTATACCAGGTAAAGTATGGTAGGATTACTATTGAAAGAATTAGAGGTAAGACAAGGTAGGATTGCAGATGAGCAAGGAGGCTTTAGAGTGGGTAGGGGATGTGTAGATAGTGTTTACATTGAAGCATATATATATGAACAGTATTTTTAGATAGAGGTAGGGAAGTTTTCATTGCATTTATAGATACAGAAAAGGCATATGATAGTGGATAGGGGAGCAATGTGGCAGATGTTGCAAGTGTATGGAAGAGGTAGTAAGTTACTAAATGCTGTAAAGTGTTTTTATGAGGATAGTGAGGCTCAGGGTAGGGTATGTAGGAGAGGATGTGTAATGTCACCATGGTGGTTTAATATATTCATAGATGGGGTTGTGAAAGAAGTAAATGCTAGGGTGTTGAGGAGAGGGATGGGATTAAATTATGGGGAATAAAGTACAAAGTGGGAGTTGATGGTTACTTTTTGCTGATGATACTGCTTATGGGAGATTCTAAAGAAAAGTTGCAAAGGTTAGTGGAAGAGTTTGGGAGGGTATGTAAAGGTAGAAAGTCGACAGTGAACATAGATAAGAGTAAGGTGATGAGTGTATCAAATGATTTAAAGAAAAAATGGATATCACTTTGGAGAGAGGGAGAAAGTGAATGTTTTCAGATATTTGGGAGTTGACTCATCAGCAGATGGGTTATGAAGGATGAGGGTAACCATAGAATTCATGAAGAAAAAAAGGCAAGTGGTGCATTGAGGTATTGGTGGTGACAAAAAAAAACAGTTATCTATGGAGGGAATGTATGAAAGTATATGGTACCAACACACTCGCATGGGTGTGAAGCATGGGTTGTCAATGCTGCAGCGAGGAGGCGGCTAGAGGCGGTGAAGATGATGTGTCTAAGGGCAATGTGTGGTGTTAATATTATGCAGTGTGTGGAAATTATGTGGTGTGAAGTTAATAAGTGTTTGTCAGAGGGCTGAAGAGGGGCTGTTGAGGTGGTTTGGTCACTTAGAGAATGGAACAAAGAATGACTTGGAGAATGTATAAATCTGTAGGGGAAGGAAGGAGTCATCCTCGAAGAGGTTGGAGGGAGGGGGTAAACAAGGGTTTGTGGGCGAGGGGCTTGGACTTCCTGCAAGCATGTACGAGTGTGTTAGATAGGAGTGAATGGAGACGAATGGTTTTTGGGACCTGATGAGCTGTTGGAGTGTGAGCAGGGTAATACTTAGTGGAGGAATTTAGGGAAACTGGTTAGCCGGACTCGAGTTCTGGAAATGGGTAGTAGTACAATGCCTGCACTTTAGAAGGGGGGTTTGGGATGACAGTTTGGAGGGACTTTAAATTGTTGTATCTGAGTGCCTCTGCAAAGACAGTGATTATGTATGAGTGATGGTGAAAGTGTTGATGAAAGTATTTTCTTTTGGGGGATTTTTTTTTTCTTTTTGGGTCACCCTGCCTCAGTGGGAGACGGCAGACTTGTTGAAATAAATATATACACACACACACACAAGCAGTACTTGTTGGTAAAATTAAGTTTAGTTTCTGTTAAAAAGTCAGAGGGAGTCTGCATCAAAGGTGGGATTTTCAATGAGTGGGTTAGGTAGTGTGTGTTAGGGTAGTGGAAACTATGAAAGCAAATTCTGCATGCCTGCTGATAAACAGGATGTTAAGATATGGTGAACTGACACTGATCAAGTTACCACCAAGATACCAGAGGGAAGTGCTTGTCCGATATGTAGGCAGGAGTGTGGCCTTCCAAACACAACAGTGATGGTAAGATGGCCAGAAACCCAAACCTGGTTTGACAGAATGCAATTTATTGTGAACCAACTCGGATCACTGTCGTTTGCAAAGTTGTCGAGAGTGCTACATGACAGTCTGGTCATGAACTGCTGACTGGGCACTCTCTTTTTACCCTAAAAATCTACATGTCCAGGGACCCAGCAGTAATAATCATGTTGGCGATTACTAGAAATACGGCATAACCAAAGTTGTTTACATTGGATTAAGGGATGACTGGAATCTAATTTTTGGATAGCCTGTAATGTAATATAGGAGTAAAACTACACAAATGGTGAGGTAGGCATTGATGCAATATGTATGACAGCCATGAGAATTGCATACAACTCTGCTGTGAAAATACAGGCCAAATCTAAAAAAAAAAAAAAAATTTTTATTTTTTTTTTAGAAATTTGTCTGGAAAAACCGTTGCAGACTTGATACCTGCAGAAGCCTTAAGACCCATCAGTGTACACTGCAATGGCATGAGAATGAAAGTGCTTAAGAAAGCGAGTGTGAAGCTACAGTAGGTAATTGAGCTTTTTGCTCATGGCAGTTGGGAAGAACACACAAATTGTAGGAACTTTACAAGGGTGAAGAGAAAAGATGCTGGACAGACATATTGAGAAGGTAAGATTAACACTCACTGACATTCCCCCCCCCCCCCCTCTCCCTCTCTGACCCCTCTCACACACACCTGCACATTCTCTAAACAAAGCATTTTTTCCTGGCTTTCCACATTTCTGGAAGTACTTACCGTAGTGGGTTTAGCACGGTTTTGATTATGATAATCTGGAAGTACTTAAACAATTAATTCTACCACATTGACAGCTAATTTTGAGAATGCAAAAATTGAGGCCTATAAATATGCCAAACTATTGGCTTATGATTTTCACACATTTTTCAGTGTTGCCTAAAATCATGTCATGTACTTTTTGACATATTAAGAATGTGAAGATGGTAAAACTACAGTTAATCTTCCTGTATTATGATTTTTTTCTTAGGTTTATCAATGTCTGGTCCTTGTGGTAGCACACCAAGGGCCATGTACGAGATTTTATTTAACTAAACGTGAATTGAAAGCCTTAGTCTTTAAGAGCCATGTGTGGTGTGAATGTTGTGCAGATAATTTGGCATTTGGTGGTGGTTTGGAGTTTATGAAAATGTTATTCAGAGGGCTGAGGTGGTTTGGAAATTAAGATAGATTGGGGAAAAGTAGAATGACTAGGAGAGCTTGCAAATCTAGTGTGGAGGGAAGAAAGGGGTAGGGGTCATCCTGGGAAAGGTTAGATGGAGGGCATAAAGGTTGTTATCGAGTGCTAGAAGCTTGGATATGCAACAGGCTGGTGTGAACATGTTAGGAGTGAAAAGTTTCTTGGAGTGTGAGCAAGATAACATTTATGAAGGGATTCAGGGAAACTGGTTAGCTGCACTTGAGTTCTCGAGATGTTAAGTGCAGTACTTGAACTCAGAGTGGAGATGCTGTTTGGAAGGTCATATTCAGTCTTGCAGGGATACCAATAGGTGACAGCAAAAGTTTTCTTTGACAGGTCACCCTACTTTGGTGGGACATGGCCAATGTGTTGAAAAACAAAAAACAAATGAACCATGTCAGTTGCCAATTTTAACTAAACTGTCAGTCATGTAACTCTACATCAATGGGATCAGTGTCCACCATAGATCTATGCATAATTCATAGCACCTTCAAATTTGCTATGAGCAGCAAGTTTTGACCTAGATTTGAGAGGGGAGTCTGTACAGTGGGTATGCACAGCATTAAAAATTCTGCCATAACCCCAGTGAATGATGGGAACAGCTAACTTAAGTTTGTTTGGGCTAAAATAGCAACTTATGGCCATTTTCTAGGGTTTTTTTTACGAGTTTACTGGCTTGTTTCTTGGTACCAATAGACAGACCAGCAGACATACTAGGGAAACTGAGAAAATATTGGTCAGATTCAGACAAAGTGGCTGAAACAGGCCTCACAGTGGTAGAAATGGTCTATTTTTAGCAATTTTTCCAGGGCAAGATTCAGATTTAGCTCCTTGTCTGATTATATCATCATGGGGAAGAGTAGGGGGCTCCTCTCCCCCTCCCCCTTCATAGGCTTTTACTAGGTCTGCTTCAAATATCAGAACAGCTTAAACCACAACCAAGCATTTTGGATTATGGTTTATTAGCCAAGAAGTAGGGAGAAATTTTTTTGTAATGTATTCAAAATGGAAAGCCAATGTTATATAGGAGAGGCTTGGGGACATTAATGAATAGAGGGAAGGTAGCTTTAGTGACTGGAATGCCTAGTGTTTCTTTTGCACACTTTAAATTGAAATTTGTTGAAAATAGAGCTGCCAAGTTATCAACTTCCAGACACTCAATAGGGTAGTTCTGACGGTTTAATGGAAAGTTTCTTGTGATCAGTGAATAGTACAGAAGGCCTACTAGTCAAATAGTGGGACAGTTTGAGTGCTAAAATTGACCTAATATGGTTTCAATTTGTAAAAAAAAAAAAAAAAATTGTATAAAGTGTTCCTTACCTCCAACCTTGCAACCGATATAATTTTGCAAATACTGTATTACATCAAATTTCACATTTTTGGGATCATTACTGCTATAAAAAAAATCAGCCATTTTAGAAATTATAATTACTTTCTAATCTTTCCCAAAAAAGTTGACACGGACATAGCTTTCAGTTCTAGAGGTGTTGACAGTTAATTAAATGAAAGAATTTTTTTTTATCTCCAAAATATAGTGAGCTGTAAGCTTAGGATTTTGGCAACTTTTTTAAATTTTTCAATACTATTTAAAATCACACATGTACTGACATTGATTAAGAATATGGAGTGAAAAATTATAAAATAAAGATAATTTCAGCATATATTGAGACCCTTTTCTTCCCTTTGTCTCTCAAATGTTGACTGTCATCATGGGAGCAGGACTTTTACCAGTAAACAAATGCTGAACTATAGGCTTACAATTTTAATTTTTTGTTTCAGGTTTTCAATATTACCTAAAAATAACCAATGTACTGCCTGACAAGACTACATGAAATTTTATACACGTATGTTTCATTTCATTCACCAATTACTAGATCTGTTTGGTTATTTGGTGTATTAAATATGATAATGTAGTACTGATAACTACTCTATACGTATCACTGTAGTTTTATTATCGGAGGCAAGAGCTGAATCTATAAGGCCTATACAGTGTGTGAGGTATGGAAGTCAATCAAGTTTGATAAAAGGGAAATAAAGGCTCACCTCCTTAAGACATGAGCCCCTCATTGATACTGTGACCAATTCAGTGTCATATTACACATTGTATTAGTGCATATCAAGCAAAACTATTCAAATTAAATTTTTCATATTGAGCAATCATGTTCATGAACAGTCATGTCAATGGTCAAAAGTTTCACGTAATTTAAGAGAAAACATTTCCACCATTAATATACAAAAGATGCTGGATAGGAATCTAGGAAGTGAGATAAGCCACTCTACAGGGAGGGTGGCACTCCTCCCAGAGGCCCCCTTCATACCTACCTTATGTCTGCCATGCATCAATTCTGGGGGTTACCATCCCTGCTGCCTGGTCCCATACCAGGCCTCCCAGTTTTTAGCTTGATTGACTAGGCTGTTGGTGTAAGCCACACCAACATATGCACCACAGCCCAGCACAAACACCTCACCCCCCCCCCCCCTCAAATACTGCCATCTTGTTAGTGGAAGGAAAGGTTAGGATTAAAACAATGCTGAAAACAGATAAGTTTTTTTTTTTTTTGAATGGTAAGTGTTTATTTTACATAGGTAAAATTATGCATCTAAAATTAAACTGGAGAATAAAAGTACATTGTATGTACTTTTATTCCAGCTAGCTTTCGGACAAAGCCATTATTTCTATTTGATACAATAATTTAAAAAAAAAAACTAGCTGCAAGATAAAATATATTAAGAACATCAGCTAGTTAAGAAATTCATTAATTTATATAGAGAACTAAAAAAAAAAAAAAATTACCTCTTAATCTCTAATATATAGTTAAGTCTTACTCTTTACTGAAGAGGAAGACAGAGATATTTCTGCCGCTTCATTAGCAACATTCTTCCTATTCAACATTTTTCTATGTTTTGCTCCTTGCATGTGTGCTTTCCAAGCATGTTCTCCAATCACCACACGATTACAAACTGTGCATTCATGTCTTGTCTTATCACCTGCAAAATATTAATATAAATTAGATCCTGCACCCTGAAGGATGGGTGAGGATGTTACAACTGGAGGGAAATAGGTCATGTCAGCATACTTCTGGAAAGACACTTATTTTAGTGTATGATAAATGTTTTCTTCCTTTGGCCAGTACAGATGTCACTCCAATTCCCTGAATTAAGTCTGAATGCCTTCCATTCCCCTAGGCACTGTATGACCCCTATGGGTTAAGTGCTCCCTCCATAAATTTTCAATAAAGATGTCATATTAGTGAGCAGAAATTAAAAGGGATCGTGGGATCATCAGGGAAATATAGTGGACCCCTGAGTTTCATGATTAATCCGCTCCAGAGAGAGTGCCGAAAGTTGGAATTCACGAATGTCGAAACCATTTTCCCCATAAGAAATAAATCCAATTAATCAGTTCCAGACACCTAAAAGTATTAACAAAAATTATTTTTTTGATAGATTAAATATAGATTTACACATACAGAAAAGAATAAGAAATCAAGTACGTACAGGTACCATCCAACTTACGACCGAGCTTGGTTCCGACCAACCAGTCATAAGTCGAAATGGACGTAAGGCAAACCTTACTACCAAATATCAACACCACATTTTTGTAATGACTGTATTTTATTGTTTTATTTTGGCATTTCATTTTTTACTTTACTTTTTATGCTGTTAGTACTGTATTTTATACTGTAAGGTTTAGGATAAACACTGTACAACACAAACAATTGTTTATTTCTCAGAAATTTGGCATACAAAACATGGTCATAAGCCCAGCGGTCGTATGTCGAGCAGGTCGTAAGTCGGATAGTAGGTGTATAAAACAATAATGACATCACACTTGCCTTTACTGAAGACTCTTGTTGGTGTATGGAAGATGGGAGGGGAGGAGAGGATGGAGAAGTCACTGGACCCTTGTCGCACAAACTGTCCAGAGAGCTCTTGCAGCTCTACCTTCTACCACCATCACAACTACTACCACCCTCTACCACCATCACAACCATCTACCACCACTACTTTTATATTTTTCTTCAAACAAACAATGCCACACTGACTCCTAAATGTTGTGGGGGAGCCTTTGTGTACGCCCAGCCTCACGGATGCGTTCTGTACGACGGACAAATTGTGAGGAAAATCATGAACCGCGAGGCTTTATTTTGACGAAAACAGTTGCCGAAACTCGAAATTCACGAAGCACGAGGCTCACGAAACTCGGGGGTCCACTATAATTCAGTTCTAAATGGTTGTTCAGATGGTTTGGGCATGTAGAGAGGATGAAGAGGGACAGGTTGATAGTGAGAGTGTATAAATCTAGAGTGGAAGGAAAGAGTAAGAATTATTGCAGGAATAGTTGGAGGGAGAGGAGGGGGGGAGGCAAGAGACTGAATTTTAGGGGATTTAATATAGCAGGCTTGTGTGATCATGTTAGATTAAAGTGAATCGAGATGAGGGGTTTTTAATGGACATACTATTGAAACGTGAATGTTGAGGAAAAAATGTCGTTACTACTGAATTATGAAGAATTCTTATTAATTACTTATGCTGAACTCACTCATTATGGAGCTTTGACAAGTACCTCGGTATGTACCGTATTTTACAGCTCAAAGACACTTTTTTCCCACAATAAGTCTCAAAAATTTACCCAACATTTTTGAGACTAAAGGTTACACAAGAACATAAGAAAGAAGCACTGCTCGGCATGTCCAAGTCACACCCACATTACTTAGAGGCCTCAACCTAAGCCTAGAAAAATTTTTCCAATGCTAAACAATAATATAAGGTCCTATATATGACCCAATGATGAATCATGTAAACTACTTTGCATAATATAAATAAATAGCAAATTGTAAAAGTTTGTTGGCGCTTAACGGTAGGTTAACAAACCAGGTGATGAGTCACGTAATATCAGTAGGTTAATTCACTTGTTTACCATCAAACAACCTGATAATATTTTTACCCACCTCAAACAAACATTTTACTGAGTTCTGGATGCAAGACCCTTTTAAGCTCATGATTAGGATTTACCAGATCTAGAATAATTGTCTATATTGGTGCATTTCTTAGCCCTGTTTCATGTAAATGTAGAGTGTCAGTGATAAGTAATTGCAGAACAAATCATTAATGTGTGTTCTTAAGTGTAATGCCTCAGGCTTACCATGGATAGTTTTTTTTTTTTTTTTTTTACAAAAAGTTTAGCAAGTTAGACTTTTGTCCCTGACACCAGGGCGTCTTGTTTGCCGTAAAATACAGTAAGTGTATTTATTTATTAACCCTTTCAGGGTCGAGAGGCCCTCTCCTAAACTTGTTCTCAGGGTCAAAAATTTTTTGAAAGGAAGAAAAAAAAATCTTATGAAATGATAGAGAATCTTTTCCCTATCATAATGACAACAAAAGTATGAAATTTGATGGAAAGCTTACAGAATTATGCTCTCGTGAAATTAATGGTCTCGACGGTGTTTACGCATCGGCGATTTCGCCCGCTTTGAGCCTTATTTTCAGCCAATTCCAATGTACCAGTCGACAAAAATCATAACTTTCGCTAGAACTCCGTTTTTCCTATCGAATGAGTACAAGAAACCACCCATTTACCAATTTCAACTATCCAATAAAATGGTCAGAAATTGTCAATTTTGCCAATTTCACACATTTAAAAAGATGCCAATATCCAAATAGGGTCCAGAATAAACAAGACAGACATTCCTGGCACTAAAATAACATTTTCTCTGTTCATTACTCACGTCCCCATGCCCCTCTTACATTTCTTTTGCTTTCCACTTTGAATTTTTATTCTCACAAAAAATAGATTTACTGTTATGCAGACTACTGCATTAGTGTAGAAATGGTATAAATAATATCAGCGCACTTGTGAAACAATATTAGACTCACCAGTTGACATGTACTGGACGTGTGGCATGATCTGTTTACTTTCGAACACTGGCAAAAATCGAACATTTCTGCTACTTTGAGCTCAATTTCAAGGTACTTTTCACTGTGAAACTAATCAAAATCATCTCAATTTCTGTAATATGTCTTCTATTCAATAAAATGAGACCAGGAAAACTAGAATGCAACCATAAATACCATACGAAAATACACTGCAAAGTCGCTGTTTTAAACCAAAAACACAGTCGGAGTTTTATTTTTCTAATTATGCACTGTGTGCTGCAGGATTTTTTTATACTGTGCACAGAACACAGAGAGTAGTCGTCAACAGAGTAAAGTCCGAGGCAGCTACGGTGAAAAGCTCTGTTCCACAAGGCACAGTACTAGCTCCCATCTTGTTCCTCATCCTCATATCCGACATAGACAAGGATATCAGACACAGCACCGTGTCTTCCTTTGCAGATGACACCCGAATCTGCATGACTGTCTTCCATTGCAGACACTGCAAGGCTCCAGGCGGACATCAACCAAATCTTTCAGTGGGCTGCAGAAAACAATATGAAGTTCAACGATGAGAAATTTCAATTACTCAGATACGGTAAACATGAGGAAATTAAATCTTCATCAGAGTACAAAACAAATTCTGGCCACAAAATAGAGCGAAACACCAACGTCAAAGACCTGGGAGTGATTATGTCGGAGGATCTCACCTTCAAGGACCATAACATTGTATCAATCGCATCTGCTAGAAAAATGACAGGATGGATAATGAGAACCTTCAAAACTAGGGAGGCCAAGCCCATGATGACACTCTTCAGGTCACTTGTTCTATCTAGGCTGGAATATTGCTGCACTCTAACAGCACCTTTCAAGGCAGGTGAAATTGCCGACCTAGAAAATGTACAGAGAACTTTCACGGCGCGCATAACGGAGATAAAACACCTCAATTACTGGGAGTGCTTGAGGTTTCTAAACCTGTATTCCCTGGAACGCAGGAGGGAGAGATACATGATTATATACACCTGGAAAATCCTAGAGGGACTAGTACCGAACTTGCACACGAAAATCACTCACTACGAAAGCAAAAGACTTGGCAGACGATGCACCATCCCCCCAATGAAAAGCAGGGGTGTCACTAGCACGTTAAGAGACCTTACAATAAGTGTCAGGGGCCCGAGACTGTTCAACTGCCTCCCAGCACACATAAGGGGGATTACCAACAGACCCCTGGCAGTCTTCAAGCTGGCACTGGACAAGCACCTAAAGTCAGTTCCTGATCAGCCGGGCTGTGGCTCGTACGTTGGTTTGCGTGCAGCCAGCAGCAACAGCCTGGTTGATCAGGCGCTGATCCACCAGGAGGCCTGGTCACAGACCGGGCCGCGGGGGCGTTGACCCCCGAAACTCTCTCCAGGTAAACTCCAGGTAAACACTGACCACACAGATCCATTCTTTCATATACAGACCTACCAGCTTTCTCTCGCTAGATTTGAAGGCACTAGAATTTACATGTACTAGTACGGCACCAACCCTGGCGTGCAAGCCGTACTAGTATGACAACAACCCCAAAAGGGTTAAAGACTATCCATCTTAACCCTTAAACTGTCCAAGCAGATCTACGTTCACATGCGTAGTGCTCCAAAAGCAGATATAAAAAAAAAAAAAAAGTAGATCAAAGTTTTTTTTACAAGTTTTCAAAAGTAAAAAAAAATCTACTTTTTTTTTTTTACATACTTTTAAATGTTGAAAAAACGTAGATCTACGTTTGGACAGTTTAAGGGTTAAACAATAACACTAATATTGTATATCTAATTATTATATTGATTTTCTTATATAATTTTTCCCCTAAATGAAATAGGTTTCAGGCGAATGCCTTGTGTGCAACAACTACTGAAAAATTAATAAATAATTATGATAAACAAAAAAAGATGGCAAGTCAACTCATTAAACACAAAAAAGTAATCTATAGCAAACCTTTCCTATCATTTTCTCAATTCCGAAAGCCATTCACTCACTGCATTTGTAACTTGAGAGCAAATGGTAAAAGCACACTTCCCTAATGAACCTTAACACACTTCATGCATATGTCCTCTTACTTTTGTTTACAACTTGTGCTTCAGAAACTTTTGATACATTTGCCACCTCAAGAGCTGGCTGGGTCCCATCAACCAATGCTTGCACTACTGCTTGGGCTGGGTCACGTACTTTTTCATTCCACTTGCTGGGATCCGATCCATCCAGAGCATATACCGGAGGAACCTGTGAAGCAGAACTATGACTATCAATCTTTTTGTTTTTTGACAAGTATCCAATAACTACCTTCAATCTCCCTTCATATTTCACTTAGCCTCCAACTTTAACTGGCAGCTTAGTGCTAAAAGTTCTTTCCCCCACACAATAACTTACTGTTACTCTGCTTAACAATGTTTACCAGATGGCAACAATCTAAGGTCACAATTTTTGCTTGAACACTTCATAGGCCTAACTAATGGGACATTCCATCAAGCTTTGAAATGTTCATTCTACTGCAATCCTCCATAAACCTCACACTTGGCTGACTGAATAGCTGGGCCAAAAGTGCTGCATTTGTGATTAGTTTGCAAATTGGCACAGCATGCAACAATGTCCAGTGAATGTTTGTGTGGCAAGTGCATGGAATACTACATATATCCCAAACTGTACAAGCTTAAAGAACCCATTATAAAAAGTAGGAAAGGGGGGGGGGGGGAGTGAGTCTGTGCTGCTCTTCCTGTCACTGTCCCCCACACCTTACTGGTTTCTCCTGTAGTAACTGCCCTGCAGGCTCCTCTAATTCTCTTAAGATAAACTAAAAACCTACAGTACTGGTTTTTATGTGATATTGTTTACGGTTCCTAAACTATTGGTTTAAGCCGGGAGGTGACATGAACCTGCCTCGCATGGGCCAGTAGGCCTGCTGCAATGTTCCTTCTTTCTTATGTTCTTAAACATGTGAAATAACACTCATATGGCATTTAGCCCCTTCCACCTCATAAGCCCTACAATGGGTCTGAACACACTTTTCAGCAGGGCTCGCATCGTACAAGAATGGTATACAATACCGATAAGATAAAAACAGACACGTGCAACATCTGGATATCTTTATTGTAGACATTTTGCCATCCAGATAAAGTAATTAGTCCCTCAGCCTTGGAGTTGGTGTGAAGAGCACCGTAGCCATGAAGATTCTGGAGCAGAGGCAAGGAGACTGGTGCTTATATACTAACACCAGGTGGATTGGGACAGGTAGCAGACAAGGCCATAGTCACTGGTAGGCAGGATTCCCCAGTGGAAGTACGTCATACCCAAAGGAATAGGCAAGATGTAGTAGTACTTATAGTAGCCGTGAAGAAGGTCATGTAGATGTCCTTCAAACCAAGATTCCATGATGTTGCAGTGTCTGACAAGTTGTACAAGAATGGTATCAATACCGACAAGATAGCAACTGAGACATGTGCAACATCTAGGTATCTTTATTGAAGACGTTTCGCCATCCAGTGGCTATCAATACAGAGTCTAGGACATAAGTTTTCATTTTGTCGGTATTCTATACCATTCTTGTACAACCTGTCAGACACTGCAACACCATGAAATCTTGGTTCAAAGGACATCTACATGACCTTCTTCACAGCTACTACAACTACTACTACATCTTACCCATCCCTCTGGGTATGACCTACTTCCACTTGGGAATCCCGCCTACCAGTGACTATGCCCTTGTCTACTACCTGCCCCAATTCACCTGGCGTTACTATAAAAGCGCCAGTCTCCTTGCCTCTGCTCCAGAATCTTAACGACTACGGTGCTCTTCACACTAACTCCAAGGCTAAGGGACTGATTACCTCATCTTTTGTATATAGTTCTATCTTCAAATTACGTATACGTCCTAGAATCTGTATTAAGGCACTGGATGGCAAAACGTCTAAAATAAAGATACCCGGATGTTGCACATGTGTCTCAGTTTTCATCAGGGCTCACATCATACATGTATGCCAGTTTAGCCATTAGAGGACTCCTCACAGCCAAGAAAATAATGGATCGGTTCAACAATGCATCAATGCAATATTGCAATGCCACCACCATCACAATATTGCACTGTCTCAAACTATTCATAAAGTATTATTTTAAATGCATAAGATTATTCATGCACTTTATCTTACTTGTCGTCCTGATGGAAGAAGAAACCGGTTTCTGATCCATCTTAATTGTTTCTTGGTGTATTGTCGAGTTGCCTGTACAGAAAGTGGACAGTTACAATGACTAATTATTTAAGTATTCAGAAGTCATACACCACTAATATTACAGAAAAAGAAATGTAAAAACTGCATCACTCCAAGTCAAATAAATGATTACTGTAAGTCAAATACTTCATAGGAGAGAGCAGTTTGGTTATTAAATAAAATAACTATCCACCAACAAGTCTAGATGGCCTGTGAGAGACTGGCCATGCAGACTGGTGGGTGGATAGAGACAAAGTGGATACAATTACTGAAGTGATATAACTAATAGATGATTGTATTATGGGAGGACTGTCATAAAAATTTACCTTTACCTACTCATGCACCTGGGCCTGGTAAACTACTACTATCATTATCATTGTTGTGATTGTTATGGTTGCTGTTGGCAGCCCAGGGTCCACAATTTCATCACAGAATGGATGAGGTACTAAACCAGTTTCCTCTTGTACATCTCTACTTTTACTCCAGTAATATTTCTGATATATAAACCATGGTTCGGGCGGGAATTGAACTTGCAGCTAGTTTGAACTCATGCATGTTCAATCCCCACCCATACTGTGGTTTGTTTGCAATCGTGTCATTATGATTTCACGAGTCATTATGACTGCTTCGAGGGGACTTACGCTAGAGTTCGTCAGGGCCACACTGGCAGGAGATTCATCAGTAAAAACTTGCATGTGTGGCCACAGTGGTGCCTATGCTAACCTTCCTATGGTGTATAAATATATCTAGTTGGAGGAATCTTATTGTAGCCAGCTGGCCCAGTGGTTAACGCACTGGTCTTGAGTTTTACGACTCTTCATTTGCGAGTTCAATCCTCGCCCGTACCCTGGTCTGTTTGCAATCGTGTCATTACAATTTCCCGAGTCATTTCTGGTACACGCCGGTAACAGGCTGGATGGTCAAGGTCTATGGATGTTGACATTATTATTATTATTATTATTATTATAATCAAAAAGAAGCGCTAAACCACAAGGGCTAATGGATGTTGACGGTGCTTCTGTTTCTGTGCTTATGACTTTCCTACTTTCCACTGGGTGTGTTTTACACCTCCCATATCCCCAAGGTTGTTAGGGTAGTGTGCAAAAATGGACTAAGCCCTCCCATATCTTTGTACATTATCATGCATATCACTTCTCTCCAGAGAGTACATTCCCAGTCCTCTAAGGTATTCTCAGTAGTTTAAAATCTTTACTGGCTCTTTATTGGCAATAAGTGCTCATAATTTTCCAGCTTGGATCATTCTATCTATATACATATACCTAACTACATCTATATACATGTACATACCTCTATAAATATACATACCTATCTATATACATGTTTTTTTTTTTTTCAACAAGTCGGCCGTCTCCCACCGAGGCAGGGTGACCCAAAAAAGAAAGAAAATCCCCAAAAAGAAAATACTTTCATCATCATTCAACACTTTCACCACACTCGCACATTATCACTGTTTTTGCAGAGGTGCTCAGAATACAACAGTCTAGAAGCATACACATATAAAGATACACAACATATCCCTCCAAACTGCCAATATCCCAAACCCCTCCTTTAAAGTGCAGGCATTGTACTTCCCATTTTCAGGACTCAAGTCCGACTATATGAAAATAACCGGTTTCCCTGAATCCCTTCACTAAATATTACCCTGCTCACACTCCAACAGATCGTCAGGTCCCAAGTACCATTCGTCTCCATTCACTCCTATCTAACACGCTCACGCACGCTTGCTGGAAGTCCAAGCCCCTTGCCCACAAAACCTCCTTTACCCCCTCTCTCCAACCCTTTCGAGACGACCCCTACCCCGCCTTCCTTCCCCTATAGATTTATATGCTTTCCATGTCATTCTACTTTGATCCATTCTCTCTAAATGACCAAACCACCTCAACAACCCCTCTTCTGCCCTCTGACTAATACTTTTATTAACTCCACACCTTCTCCTAATTTCCACACTCCGAATTTTCTGCATAATATTTAACCCACACATTGCCCTTAAACAGGACATCTCCACTGCCTCCAACCGTCTCCTCGCTGCTGCATTTACCACCCAAGCTTCACACCCATATAAGAGTGTTGGTACTACTAACTTTCATACATTCTCTTCTTGCCTCCATAGATAACGTTTTTTGACTCCACATATACCTCAACGCACCACTCACCTTTTTTCCCTCATCAATTCTATGATTAACCTCATCCTTCATAAATCCATCCGCCAACACGTCAACTCCCAAGTATCTGAAAACATTCACTTCTTCCATACTCCTCCTCCCCAATTTGATATCCAATTTTTCTTTATCTAAATCATTTGACACCCTCATCACCTTACTCTTTTCTATGTTCACTTTCAACTTTCTACCTTCACACACATTCCCAAACTCATCCACTAACCTTTGCAATTTTTCTTTAGAATCTCCCATAAGCACAGTATCATCAGCAAAAAGTAACTGTGTCAATTCCCATTTTGAATTTGATTCCCCAAAATTTAATCCCACCCCTCTCCCGAACACCCTAGCATTTACTTCCTTTACAACCCCATCTATAAATGTATTAAACAACCATGTGACATTACACATCCCTGTCTAAGACCTACTTTTAAACCGGAAGTAGTCTCCCTCTCTTCTACACACCCTAACCTGAGCCTCACTATCCTCAAAAAAACTCTTTACAGCATTTAATAACTTACCACCTATTCCATATACTTGCAACATCTGCCACATTGCTCCTCTATCCACTCTATCATATGCCTTTTCTAAATCCATAAATGCAATAAAAACTTCCCTATCTTATCTAAATACTGTTCACATATAATGCTTCAATGTAAACACCTGATCTACACATCCCCACCCACTCTGAAACCTCCTTGCTCATCCGCAATTCTACATTCTGTCTTACCTCAAATTTCTTTCAATTATAACCCTACCGTACACTTTTCCTGGTATACTCAATAAGCTTATTCCTCTATAATTTTTACAGTCTCTTTTGTCCCCTTTCCCTTTATATAAAGGGACTATACATGCTCTCCGCCAATCCCTAGGTACCTTCCCCTCTTTCATACATTTATTAAACAAAGTACCAACCACTCCAACACTATATCCCCCCCTGCTTTTAACATTTCTGTCATGATCCCATCATTTCCAGCTGCTTTACCCCCTTTTTAATTTACGTAATGCCTCACGTACCTCCCCCACACTTCATTCTGCTCTTCTTCACTCCTAAAAGATGTATACCTCCCTGACCAGTGCATGAAATTACTGCCTCTGTTTCTTCCTTAACATTTAAAAGTTCCTCAAAATATTCTCGCCATCTACCCAATACCTCCATCTCCCCATCTACTAACTCCCTACTCTGTTTTTAACTGACAAATCCATATTTTCCCTAGGCTTTCTTAACTTGTTTAACTCACTCCCAAAATTTTTTCTTATTTTCATTAAAATTTCTTGACAGTGCCTCTCCCACTCTATCATCTGCTCTCCTTTTGCACTCTCTCACCACTCTCTTTACCTTTCTTTTACTCTCCATATACTCTGCTCTTCTTATAACACTTCTGCTTTGTAAAAACCTCTCATAAGCTACCTTTTTCCCCTTTTATCACACCCTTTACTTCATCATTCCACCAATCACTCCTCTTTCCTCCTGCCCCCACCCTCCTATAACCACAAACTTCTGGGCCCCACATTCTAATACTGCATTTTTAAAACTATTCCAACCCTCTTCAACCCCCCCACTACTCATCTTTGCACTAGCCCACCTTTCTGCCAATAGTCGCTTATATCTCACCCGAACTTCCTCCTCCCTTAGTTTATACACTTTCACCTCTTACTTGTTGTTGCAACCTTCCTCTTTTCCCATCTACCTCTTACTCTAACTGTAGCTACAACTAAATAATGATCCGATATATCAGTTGCCCCTCTATAAACATGTACATCCTGGAGCCTACCCATCAACCTTTTATCCACCAATACATAATCTAATAAACTACTTTCATTACATGCTACATCATACCTTGTATATTTATTTATCCTCTTTTTCATAAAATATGTATTACTTATTACCAAATTTCTTTCTACACATAGCTCAATTAAAGGCTCCCCATTTACATTTACCCCTGACACCCCAAATTTACCCTACTACTCCCTCCATAACATTTTTACCCACTTTAGCATTGAAATCCCCAACCACCATTACTCTCACACTTGATTCAAAACTCCCCACGCATTCACTCAACATTTCCCAAAATCAATCTCTCTCCTCTACACTTCTCTCTTCTCCAGGTGCATACACGCTTATTATAACCCACTTTTCACATCCAATCTTTATTTTACTCCACATAATCCTTGAATTAATACATTTATAGTCCCTCTTTTCCTGCCATAGTTTATCCTTCAACATTATTGCTACTCCTTCTTTAGCTCTAACTCTATTTGAAACCCCTGACCTAATCCCATTTATTCCTCTCCACTGAAACTCTCCCACCCCCTTTAGCTTTGTTTCACTTAAAGCCAGGACATCCAGCTTCTTCTCATTCATAACATCCACAATCATCTCTTTCTTATCATCTGCACAACATCCACGCACATTCAGACTTCCCACTTTGACAATTTTCTTCTTATTCTTTTTAGTATGTACATAGCTAAATATTTTTTTTTCAACACACTGGCTGTCTCCCACCAAGACAGGGTGACCCAAAAAGAGAGTACTACTCACCATATCTCTATACCCTTCTCTCCTACCCCCCATCCCTTCCAAATGGACCTGTCAACACTAAGCAGTACACTAATCAAGAGTGCCAATGGCACAAGAGGAGTGGCTGCTTTATTCAAGCACATTCAGTGTATTTTTTTTTTTTTGCCCTTTAACTACCTAGTAATATCCTGTTGATGGTACTATGATCATCACCCCCATACCCGTCTCAGATCAAGTCTCCTGGTCAGTCAAGCTCTTGGTGCTAGTTGAATGCAGTCTAACATAGGCACTACAGCCTGGTTGATCAGCAAATGTCTAGAGGAACTATCCTGAAACAAGCATAAAAATCACAAGAATCATCCCACAAAAACTAAAGCAAAACTCACCTTTATTTGTACTCAGACCACCACCCTATTAAGCGATGTCATATCCTTTTCACTGACTCTTTTTGGGTTATCCTGGTGGGTAATTTACCCATGTTACTATACATGATAATTGTAAATTAGACCGTACAACACATGGGTATCTTTATTTTGGAAAAGTTTCACCACACAGCAACAAAACGTCTCCACAACAGAGATACCTAGGTGTTGCACATGTGTGTAATTTATCAACCTGGAGTTTACCTGGAGAGAGTTCCGGAGGTCAACGCTCCCGCGGCCCGGTCTGTGACCAGGCCTCCTGGTGGATCAGAGCCTGATCAACCAGGCTGTTACTGTTGGCTGCACGCAAACCAACGTACGAGCCACAGCCCGGCTGGTCAGGAACCGACTTTAGGTGCTTGTCCAGTGCCAGCATGAAGACTGCCAGGGGTCTGTTGGTAATCCCCCTTATGTATGCTGGGAGGCAGTTGAACAGTCTCGGGCCCCTGACACTTATTGTATGGTCTCTTAACGTGCTAGTGACACCCCTGCTTTTCATTGGGGGGGATGTTGCATCGTCTGCCAAGTCTTTTGCTTTTGATTTTCGGGTGCAAGTTCGGTACTAGTCCCTCTAGGATTTTCCAGGTGTATATAATCATGTATCTCTCCCGCCTGCGTTCCAGGGAATACAGGTTCAGGAACCTCGAGCACTCCCAGTAATTGAGGCGTTTTATCTCCATTATGCGTGCCGTGAAGGTTCTCTGTACATTTTCTAGGTCAGCAATTTCACCTGCCTTGAAAGGTGCTGTTAGTGTGCAGCAATATTCCAGCCTAGATAGAACAAGTGACCTGAAGAGTGTCATCATGGGCTTGGCATCCCTAGTTTTGAAGGTTCGCATTATCCATCCTGTCATTTTTCTAGCAGATGCGATTGATACAATGTTATGGTCTTTGAAGGTGAGATCCTCCGACATGATCACTCCCAGGTCTTTGACGTTGGTGTTTCGCTCTATTTTGTGGCCAGAATTTGTTTTGTACTCTGATGACGATTTAATTTCCTCGTGTTTGCCATATCTGAGTAATTGAAATTTCTCATCGTTAAACTTCATATTGTTTTCTGCAGCCCACTGAAAGATTTGGTTGATGTCCGCCTGGAGCCTTGCAGTGTCTGCAATGGAAGACACTGTCATGCAGATTCGGGTGTCATCTGCAAAGGAAGACACGGTGCTGTGGCTGACATCCTTGTCTATGTCAGATATGAGGATGAGGAACAAGATGGGAGCAAGTACTGTGCCTTGTGGAACAGAGCTTTTCACCGTAGCTGCCTCGGACTTTACTCTGTTGACTACTACTCTCTGTGTTCTGTTAGTGAGGAAATTATAGATCCATCAACCGACTTTTCCTGTTATTCCTTTAGCGCGCATTTTGTGCGCTATTACGCCATGGTCACACTTGTCGAAGGCTTTTGCAAAGTCTGTATATATTACATCTGCATTCTTTTTGTCTTCTAGTGCATTTAGGACCTTGTCGTAGTGATCCAGTAGTTGAGACAGACAGGAGCGACCTGTTCTAAACCCATGTTGCCCTGGGTTGTGTAATTGATGGGTTTCTAGATGGGTGGTGATCTTGCTTCTTAGGACCCTTTCAAAGATTTTTATGATATGGGATGTTAGTGCTATCGGTCTGTAGTTCTTTGCTGTTGCTTTACTGCCCCCTTTGTGGAGTGGGGCTATGTCTGTTGTTTTTAGTAACTGTGGGACGACCCCCGTGTCCATGCTCCCTCTCCATAGAATGGTAAAAGCACGTGATAGGGGCTTCTTGCAGTTCTTGATGAACACGGAGTTCCACGAGTCTGGCCCTGGGGCAGAGTGCATGGGCATGTCATTTATTGCCTGTTCGAAGTCATTTGGCCTGCTAGTTCTCCGAACCATTTATCTACATGGTAATTGTGCTTATGTGTACCTAAATAAATTTACTCACACATGCACAAGGAGTCAGTGGAACACTGCCCTTATGATTTAAATATGGTATGAAAGATATATTTTACAAATCCACCACAGAGAAATGACCCTTGGCAGCACAGGAATGCTTTTTGAAAGATCAGAATTGAGTTAATTAATGGCATCTCAATGCAACATCTTCAACCTAACACTGACACAATCATTACTTTAAGATACTGACAGCAATTATACACTAACTGCATGTACAGTACTTCGATTTCCCTTGAATTTTATGAAAAATTTTATCAGGACAAAACAATGATTAGGGATGGCTTTCTTTCATTACCAAAAATTCAACTTACTAATTTCATGGCCTCAACTCCTGCTTCATACATCATCTTTCCTTTGTCAGTTTCTTGTTCCTCCTCGGGCAAAATCAAAAAATTATGAAATTCTTTAAAGCCTATACTTTGAAAAATCCCCTTGGTGTAGTCTGGGGCTTCTCCATCCTTCAGGCGCTTGGCATTGTATGAAGCATGGAAGTCCTTTAATTCCTTGAGGAGCCCCCGCTCTATCATTTCATCCACTCGATCATCCAAACGTTTATTAAGGACCTCCTGTAAATAACTCTGTATTAACACAAAGGAAAATCATATTTTATATATGTATACAGTACCATTTCATTTTGTATAGTACTGTACAATATTTGGCAAGTTAATTTGCATCAATAACTTAGTAAATAAGTAACAAAAACAAGGAATAGTTTGTTTTGTAACATGCATTATAACAGCCCATGTCTATGTAGGCCTGCTGGCTACCAGCACCAAGAACCTGATTGATTAGGCAGTTTAACAAGGAAACCTGACCTCAGGTCAGACTGCAAGGATAGAAAAAACCCTTGAAACCAGTTCTAAGCATGTCGCAGGTACAACTTTTAATGGTTCTAGGTATCAAGGACTCAAAGCCTGGATAAGACCAGACACAAAAAAAAAAAAAAAAAATTTAATCTGCAATTTACGTGTGGTTTGTTTCAGGAGCTTTTCTATCTCAACAACCCAGCCTTGGGCCAGAACTCCCTATTGATCAACTAGGCTTTTGCTGTTGGTGGCCCACAGACCCACATATCCATCATAGCCTGGTTGATCACACATGTACAGTATATAAAGTACAGTATATAATGAATATATGCATTAGCTTTCAAGATTTACCTGTCATCCTGCATGTTCAAGAGAAAGACAAAATCAATAATCCTGCCAGAGAGCAAAATATTGAACAGGCTTCCATTTTACACTTGCATGGCAGGAAGGTAGTACTGTACCTGTTTGGATGGTTACTGCCTGCCAACCTATTAGAATTTGGTATGGGCTGACCTGCTGGCATGTAACCCAGACGATGGCAGTGTTGGGGTACCTGAGACCACCCCCGAGTCTGGAGCCTCCATGTTGCTGCTGCTGCAGTTCAAGTAATTGACTGTGGCGCTGCCCTGTCTGCTCCCACACCTGCAGTGACCTGTTACAAAACAACTGTTAATATCGAGTGTGACAGACA